GGTCAATCAAAGGTAATGGACAAATAAAATGCCATTTTTTGTTTGAACATGCCTTAAAAATATATCTTACTACCTTCTATTCATATTATGCAATCTGGCAACTAAGTCGTGAAAATATATTTAAATTATTTTTGCAAATTATTCGTAAGTACATGACATATGTACATGACATATGTACATGACATGATACTATTTGTGTTTCTTCTCTCTTTTTTATATTTTTACTTGATACAATTAAATGTACAAATCATTCTCTTTTTATGGCACTCCTCACACTATTATATTGATATATTTTCCTTTGACTATATTATTAAAATAATAGAAAGCACAACATTTGCCGATATAATCGTGTGAGCTGATAATGTAGAGATATTACAAAACAGCTGACCAAGACAGGAAAAGATTTGGCTAAATACTGCCTGCCACAGAGATGATAGAGTAAAAGGCAAACTAAAGAAAGGTGATATCAAGTACAAGATCACAGTAGAGAGGAAAAGCATGAGAAAAAAACTTATAGAATGTGATAGAAAATCAATAAAGAACACAATTTAGTGTGCGACATTAAGCAACAATTTTTTTCGTTTAAGTAGTCCTTCATTTGCTAAATAGTATTAAATTTAATTATATTATATAATAGATTATGCATATTATTCAAACTTTCAAAAAGAGTGCAGACATATTATGAATATTTAAATAGGTCATAAAATATTGCAATTAGAAAATGTTCAAATTATCTTGGTATTAATGAATATTCGCAACAAAAAGTCTACATTAAATAAGGTTATGCTACTACATAAAGAATTATTAATAAAAATATGAAAAGCTTAGACTGTAAAACTAACTAAAGAAACCATAATCTTATTGACAAAACTTAAAATTTAATTTGCAAATGATGTTCGAATAAACAATATTAAAAAAACATGCACCTGATACCTGACTTTAAAATCTTCCATTGATTTAAAGTTTCACTTGAAAGTTTAATTTGATGTATCATTTCCATGCATTTAAAGTTTTTATACTTTTACAAATATTCATAAGAAATTTTTGACAGTGTTGTTATTTTCATCAGCATCAAAAATATAACAAAAAATTAGAAAAATGGTTAGATAAGTAAAGAAAATCACAAATCCAAGAATCGCATTCCTGAGTGAATTTATACCACAAATGAATTTTTAGAATAGAAAGTGCTCAGAGTAAAGTGGAGAATCTTGTGAGTGAAGTTTTAGAGCATTGGTTTCTCAAAGAATACAGACTTTGCAATTTAAAAATGCTTTCATAAATTATAGACAATTTAGATGAGTTTTTCTTTTATAAATAGGATTAATCTTCTTTGAACTAATAAAATACATTAATGAAGAGGATCTAAGGATGGGCGATTCAGATCTATACATATTATTAAAAAAAGACCTGTTATACATTCATAAAAAAATAAACCAAACAGATAAAATATTAAATTTAAAAGATTTCTATGTAAGTAAAGAAATTCCATAGCAGTAAATCATAATTATCTTAGGTACATTATCCACAAAAAATTTAAAAAATAACATGCCTGAATTTTCCAGTTCTAACTAATACACCTTTCATTCCACATTTTTGAGCAGCATGAACATCACTGCTAATATCATCACCCACCATGACAGCCTGAAATAATAAAAATAAATTAATATAATTACAAAAAAAGGCAAAATTAAAATTAGATAATTAAAAAATGTACACAGATTGAAAAATTATAAACGGTGATGTACGTAAGCATTCAATTTTACAAAGTAAAGGGAAAACAAGTTTAATTAAAGTATTGAATTTTTTTAATGTTAAAAATCAGCATAAATGCAATATGTTTTAAAACAGTCATGGTTGCAATTCAGGTCCTTCTAAGCAAACTCAAGGTACAAAATATGGGACTTACAACCCAAAGCTGTCTAAAAATATACGAAACTGTCCAAAAGTGCCCCAAAACCTGCAATTCTGAAAATTGTTTATACAATTATAACTCCAAAATTAAGCTAAAATAGAGATAAAAAATAATTATCTCACAATATTTTTACTACTATTTAATTTTAAATATTATTATACTTATATTTCAAATATTAGTTTAATATCAATTGATAATCCACAATTTATTACATTTTGAAAACTATAAATTTAATATGCATTTTAAAACACATATCAATAAAGAAGATACATAGTATAAACTCAGGTACCCATAAAATTTTATATCTATAAAATTTTGCACCTAAAGTTCATAACAGTTTTAAACAATTAAAACCAAAGCAATGATTTCTTTTATTTTCTTTAAAAATATTTTAAGGACTAGAATCTCGCAATATATTTTCTTATTGTTTAACCTGTAGTAAATTTCACCATTTTATGAACTCTTCAGTATTGTTCACATAAGACTTTAATATAACATCTAGTGCAGAACAATTTAAAACAGAAAAATAAAAGCAACAATTTTAATACTTGTTAATAATGAAATACTTGTTAATAATCAAATTTTAAAAACATGGATTCACATTAATAAGTTGTTAATTAGTAAGTCGTTATTTGTAAGTTAATTAATAAGTTGTTATTTTTAATAACAATTAATAAGTTGTTAATTTTGCTTCATACTGTTTTGTTTTATATTTGTAGTGATTAAATAAAAATTTTATAAAATGTAGTTAAGGACAAAAAAGTTTTGAACNGTGAAGCAATATTTGATAATTTATTTTGCTAATATGTTTCTTATTTAGCTAATGTTTTGATTTTTTCACCATGTACAATCTAAATAGCTAATATACTTTTTTAAAAGCCAATAAGAACATTGGTAGAATTCTTCTACATAAGTACAATACTATGTCTTTGATGATAAAATACTATGTCTTTGATGATAATATATTATGTCTTTGTGCTAGAACATTGTGTTCATTGGCGAGCGAGCGCAGCGAGTCATGGTTCACGGCGTGAACCACATAGGATTGCGTAGCAATTCTCGGGGGATGGCGAGCGTTAGCGAACAGGGGTGGAGCCTCCTAGTTATTCAATAAATTTTGATAATTTCTATAAAAATCATCAAAATAAAAAATTTTGTACTTAAAATTCGACCTTATATTAATTGTACATTTTAAATTATACAGTATGACATACTATTACCTTACGCAAATCCAGTTTTCAAGCCAATTGAAGGTAATGGACAAATAAAATGCAGTTTTTCATGTGAACATCCTTTAAAAATATATATCTTACTACCCTCTATTCACGCATTAATTTCATATCATGCAATCTGGCGACTAAGTCATGAAAATATATTTAAACTATTTTTGCAAGTTATTCGCAAGTACATGACATGTTCTCATTTGTGTTTCTTGAATTTTTTAAAATATTTTTACTTGATAAAATTAAATTTACGAATCATTCTTTTTTATATGGCGCTCCTCACACTATTGTATTGATATATTTTCCTTTGATTATATTATTAAAATATTAGAAAGCACAACTTTTGCAGATATAATTGAGTGAGCTGATGATATATATATAACAGTTTTTATACATAGATCAAAACTGTTTTGCAATATATATATTACAAAACAGTTGACCAGGACAGGAAAAGGTTCGTCTGAATACTGCCTGCCACAAAGATGATAGAATAAAATGAATGCTCTAAAGAAAGGTAATATCAAGCACAAGATCACAGTAAAAAGGAAAAGCCTGAGAAAAAAACGAAGAATGTGATACAAATCAATAAAGAATATAATTTGGTGTGCAACATAAACAAACAATATTTTTGTTTTATTGGTCCTTGATTTGATAAATAGTATTCAATTTAATGATATTACATAATAGATTACGCTTATTATTCAAACTTTCAAAAAGAGTGAAGACATATTATGAATAGGTCAGAAAATATAGCAATTGGAAAATGTTTAAATTATCTTGGTATTACTGAATATTGGTAATAAAAAGTCGTAATAAAGTTATGCCACTACAAAAAGAATAAATTAATATAAATATGAATGGCTTAGATTGTAAAACTAATTATAGAAGCCTTAATTTAATTGATAAAACTCATAACTTTTAATTTGTGAATGATGTTCGAATAAACAACATTAAAAAATCATGCACTCGATCCCTGACTTTAAAATCTTCCATTGATTTAAAGTTTTATGTGAATGTTTAATTTGATAGATTATTATTTCCATAGATTTAAGGTTTTTATACTTTTTAAATATTCGTAATAAGAAATTTTCGACAGTGTAGTTATATTTATCAGCATCAAAAGTATAACAAAAAATTGGAAAATTAGAAAAATGGTTAAATAAATAAAGAAAATCACAAATTCAAGAAAGAATCTCATTCTTGAGTGATAGTATACCACAAATGATTTTTTAGGATCAAAAGTGCTAGGAGATAAATGGAGGTCCATGTGAAGTCAAGTTTTAGAGCGTTGGTTTCTCAAAGAATACGGACTTAGCAATTTAGAAATGCTTTAATAAATTATCGCCATTTTAAATAAATTTTTTCTTTAAGAAATTGGCCTAACATTTTTTGAACTAATAAAATACATTAGGGAAGATGATGTAAGGATGGTCAAATTAGATCTATACATCATCATATATTATATTAAATGCATTATCATATATGCATCATATATAAACATCATATTATTAAAAAAACATATAAAAATGCTTATTTGGCGTATTTATATGTTTATTTGGCAAAAAATGGCTACACTGCACCATGAACTAGGTCTAAAAACAGCTTCTTTAGTTTAGAAAACAGGCATTTTTATTTTAAAAGCTAGATTGAGGTATAAGATCGAATGTCCTTAAGGTAAAAAAAAATATTATCTTGACGTTTATTACCAATTAATAAGTTTAAAGTAGGATAATGACATCAGTAAAAAAGCTTGTCATACATTCATAAAAAAAATAAACCAAACAGATAAAATATTAAATTTAAAAAATTTCTACATAATTAAACAAATTCTATAGCAGTAAATCATAATTATCCTAGGTACATTATCCACATAAAATTTAAAACATAACATGCCTGAATTTTCCAGTTCTAACTAATACACCTTTCATTCCACATTTTTGAGCAGCATGAACATCACTGCTAATATCATCACCCACCATGACAGCCTGAAATAATAAAACTAAATTAATATAATTACAAAAAAGGCACAATTAAAGTTAAGTAATTAAATAAAGTACACAGACTGAAACATTATAAACAGTGATGTATGCAAGCATCCAATTTTACAAAGTAAGGAGAAAACAAGTTTAAATTAAAATATCAAAACAAAAAATATTGAACTTTTGTTCTTTCAATATTATAAATGCTAAAAATCAGCACAAATGTAATATTTTTTAAAACAGTCAAGGTTGACCTCCTAAGCAAATTCACGACACAAAATATGGGATTAAGAACCCAAAGCTGTCTAAAAATATACAAAACTGTTCAAAAGTGTCCGAAACCTGCAATTCTGAAAATTGTTTAAACTAAAATTAGACTTATTGCATATAAAAAATAATTATCTCACAATATTTTTACTACTATTTAATTTGAAATATTATTATGCTTAAATTTTAAATATTAGTTCAATATCAATTCAATATTAGTTCCATATCAATTGGTATTCGCACAATTTATTGTATTTTTAAGAATAGTACATCTAATATATGTTTTAAAATATTTTAAATATTATTTTACTTTAAATATTAGTCCAATATTATGTGATATTGCACAATTTATTGCATTTTTAAAACTATTAAATTTAGTATATATTTTAAAATATATATCAATAAAGAAGATACGTAGAATGAACATTTAAAGACCTAAAAAGCAACATTTTTATGAGGGACATCCAAAACATTTTCAATACTGATAATGGCAGTTTATGAACTAAATTAATGGGGCAAATGTTTAACACAAAAAATTGTGATAAGTAAATAAAAAGAAAATTTTTTGATTTAATTTAATAGTCCCAATCATTGTTATATAGTCTTATTTAGAAAACTTCATCAAAGAATATTAAATTAATCATATCACACTCAAGATTATTAAGACAAAAAAAAGTTATTATTATGCAAAAAAATTAAGAAAAAAAAAATAAAATTATATGAACTAAAATTGAATGTAATAACATAAACATATAATTATAAAAATTATTTTGCAAGTGATAAAATAAAATAATAATTATAGAGCTATTTACACTAATTTACAGTATGAGAATGATTTTTTTTAAATTTTATTTTGTTATTTATTCAATTTCTACTTATTAGTGTACCATTGTTTTTGATCTTAAGAAACCAAAAAATATTTTCAATTGCCACAAATATTTTTTATTAATCTTTACAGTATTTATTAACTAATGAATAGCCACAGGAGCTTTGTTTTAAAGGACATGGTGCAATAAATAAATAAAATAAGTAATACTTAATGCATGAAAAAAAGTATTGAAAACTAGTGCCAGTGAGATATATCAAACAAGCAGCTCGTAGTTAGCCAATTTAGAAAAATAATCAATCATCTAAACACTTAACAGCTGATCAATGATTTTAAAAAAATAGTACTAAATGAATTTTTGGAATATCTAATTCCAGTCAAAATAAAATTTATTAACACTTTAGACAATTTATTTTTAAACTATTTAGTCCACTTAAATTGCAAAATATCATTGACTATCTCATTAATATAAGAGTCTTGATTGTTCTACAGACTACAGAAAGTGTTGAGATTGTTCCATTCTTTTACAATGATTAGGTTAAGAAAATAATTTACAATTTAGGAATATCAAATAACAAAAAAAGTACAGAAATAGTTATGTAAAACAATATAAGATATGTTATACAATTAAAATAATTGTTCTATTAAGCAAATACCAAAAAAGAATTACATTACCTCTTCAGGTTTTACTCCCATCTCATTTAAGGCACTCAAAAAATAATCTGGACTAGGTTTACCAATCACTTTAGCTTCAACACCAGCAGCATACTAAATAATAGAGCGAAAACATTATAAATTCAAATAAACATTAAGACACAAATGAATAAGATAGAAGAAAAAACAAACCTCTAAGGCAACTGTATATCCACCCAAATCCATAACAAGCTCATCTTTTTCTTTATAATATTTCCTACAAATATAAAGATTTAAAAAATAAAAAAACAGGTTAAAATTTAAAACAACACATCAGATTTATTTAAAATACTTTTTAAAAAATATATTTGTTGTTATAATCATAAAAAGGTATAACATATGTAAATATATACCACGTGACAGAATTGCGGCGACATGCTGACATTGTCACAGAACATTACAGAGTTTTTGCTGAAAGATTTTTCATTTGGGAAGGGGAAAATTTTGGTTTTCCTTTCTGCATAATTTTTCAAAAAAAAATTTTTTTTTTCTTTTTCTGCAGAATTTTTTTTCAGAGAAGTCTTTCTCGTGCATGAGAGAGGAAAGAAGAAATTGTGATTTTTCTATTCTCATTTGGGATTTAAAGAAAAGTCTGTAATGACTGACTTCAGCTAGAATTTCAATTTAACAATATAAAATAAAAAATTTAGAAATCACAAAAGTTTTAAAGGTAGTTCGCTCTAGAAATGATGTTCTTTCTTTAATTTTTTTTTCTTTAAAGGACATCATGTTTTACATACACTTATATGAGAATCTCGTTAGGTTCTATATTTTGCATCGACTTACTACACGGACTTCATGATTTTTAATTTAAGTACGAATTTTAATTTTTGTACTGATTTACAAAAGTTGAAAGACGAAATAATTAGTGCATTTTTTCGCCTACAAAATGCAAGAAAGTGTCCAAAATATTAGAATTAAAAAATATTACTTTTACAATTAAAACTTTTTATTCTATACTTTCTTCTGTAAACACAACGTTTCTGTAACTCTAGTAATTATTATAATTAAAAGTATCTAAAACAGAAAGTCTGAAAAAAGTCTGCCACAGTGCACATATATACATATGTTGTGGACTAATTGAAAAATCTGGTTCATTTCAAATTATTTACATCACTTTGCAATGTATCTTCAAGGTCTACCTGCAATTAGTCTAAGAAACGATGTTGACAGTCAAGGAAAAAATTAAACAAGGAATCAATGAGGTATTATGAATATAAACATTTTCTCATAGACATCATTTTAAGTTTCAACATTAATTGAATTTTAACACACTAAGTGAAAACCCTGTTAGTTATGCAAGAAAACAGACTAACCAAGTTAAACATTTACAAGTTGCAGGTAAGGAAAAAAAAAATTATTGTTTCAGTGAAGAAACTGTAGAGTGAAAAAAAAAGATCAACATATTGTATTTCAAATCAAAAGCACAGAGAGAATTAAAGACATTGCCAGGAAATAAGTAAACTTTGTGCATATATATATATATATAAAAAAAAGCATTCAGAAATTGAAGTGCAGACAAAAAAAATTCCTGCCTACCCTTTTCCCATTGATATAAGTAATGGTTTTTCTGATTTCATAAGCACTTTAAAAGCTTCATTTACATTTTCATATGAAAAATAATCAGCTGCATCTCCAACAACAACACAGTTTGGGTTAGTACGTTCAGAATTATGAAACTCTGGCAAGATATCTGAAAAGAAAAAAAAACAGTAATACTCACTGCTAATATTCGAATTTAATCTGAAAGTTCGTTTTTAAAACTTTCACATAAAAATGATCCATACATTAAAAGTAAAAAAAAACTAACAAACAATAAAGTTCATATGAAACTTTTCTAAATATTGCTAATGGAGATGCCACTAATTATTGTTTTATACAAATTTTTTTTTAAAAAATGACATTTTTGAATGAATAATATTCAACTCTATCTTTACCAACAATACAATTTGGTGCAGAATATTAAAAATTACAATTCTCTTGCAAGATATTTGGAAAAAAATTAATTAAAACTTTATTATTTTCAAGCATTAAATTATTATTAATTTAAAATACAGTAAAAGAACATTCCTTAATAGAAATGAAATGATAAACTTAAAGCTATTCCATTTCATTTAAGAAAAACTCCTCCAAAGGTCAAATTCATCATTTCATCAATGGCTCGACAGCCCAGAGTGGGCCTGGGCCTTCTCAAGAAGCTTTTTCCAGGCTAACCTTTTTCCTGCTAGCGTTTTCCAGTTTTTATTTTTTAAGGCTTTAACCACAGCCAAAGACCAAAAGGTTTCTTTCTTAGCCATCTATTCATCTCAAATCCGGCCTGCCTGTTTTTTGTGTGCCAACTGGTTTGGCATTGGAAACTCTTTATGTGGTACGGTCTTCATCAATTCTGATAACGTGGAAAGCCCATTTTATTCTTTGTCGTCTAATGAAGTTAATAATGTCATGTTTATTATATGAGTGATAAAGCTCTAAATTTGTTCTTCTAAGCCACACACTATTTTTACATAGATTGCATCCACCACATATTACCTTTTTGTGCATGCAATAACCAATCTTTCGTATCTCCACCTTTATCAATACATGAGATTATCTAACTTCACGGCTTCTATTCTCTCTTTTCTTATTCTCAAGTCATAACAACACAAATTCTTACAGCAAATACAGTACAGAACCCATTATCCGGAAATCAGAAAACCGGAAAACCAAAAAACCGGAACGAAATTCGATAAATTTTCCCGCCATTTAAAACAAAAAATGTTTTTTTTTTCCTCGTAAAATTTTTGGATTTTTCTTTTTTGAAAGATTTCTACCTTTCCATCATTTTGGAAATAATCATTAGTGTATTACTTCATATTTTTTTCTTCTTTTTAAGATTATTTCCAAACATTTTTTTTTTTAGTTGCTTTTAACAATAAAAAAAATGACTTTTTGTAGCGATTCAGAAAACCGGAAAAATCAGTTATCCGGAATAGCGATGGTCCCAATCGTTCCGGATAATCGGTTCCCTACTGTGTTTCCTTTTAATCAAAAATTTAATTTTTAGAGAATAGAAATAATGTATAGAAATACAAATAATAAAACATAAAATAAATTTAAATAAATGATTAAAAAAAGAGTAAGTAATTAGGTTAAACTGATATAAATCTCACCTGTTCATTCAAGGCTGATGAACAGGTAATATAACAGGATATGTTAGAATTTTCATGACTTAAAAATGCAAGTATTAATTAACGAATATCAAAAAAATCATAATTATAAAACATTAATGTTTAGACTCATAATATAAAAGTATACATTCTTTTTAATTATGGTAAATTTTATGGTTTATTTGTATGGTCATTTATGACACAAAAAGTTTATTTTATGATATTAATAACAGGATTTGTGAATCAGAAACTAGCTTTAATAAAATATAAACTCATAGAAAATTTATATTCGACTTATAATAAAATCTATCTACAACAATAATTAAATCTAAGAATAGAAAATGATTATTTTCACTTTAACAATCTATTTTTTAGGAGTTAAAAAATATAAATAATATTTTTAGTGTGTGCATAATTTTAAATACAATAGAACAAGACAAAACTCTTTCAGACAAGAAAAAGTTTCTAAAAGAAACTAAATAATTCTGATTTAGAATAAGATTACTATATTTCTCATTAATGTCAATTCTAATTCAAGAAAGCATAAATTTTTTTTTGAGGTAATTCTAATTTTCAACACTGATTCCATGAATACAATTACAAAAGTAACTCCTCAATTTACTAGCATTAGAGGTTATAAAAGCACCCGCCTACATTTCTAGTATCATTTGCATTTTCTAGTAAGAAAGAGTTAAACAATTTTACTGTAACAAGAAAAATGAGACAATTAGAGAAAGGAAAATAGGTAAAAGAAAATTATATCTCAACAAAATTACTTGGTTTGATTTAAGTGCTGTACCAATATAATGCGCTCACGAACATGTACAATTAAGGTTACAAATTTTGCAAAAGGTTAGTAACATTTAAATAGATATTTCTGGCACAATAACATTAAATTTTTTACAGACCAGTGAATATAACAAGCTTATTTGTGATTACATTAGTTATATCACTGAAAAGATACTCTTATCTTGATTCCTTGACCCAAAATATTATACTTCAAAGCAGAGTATCAAAATACTGTACTTGAGAATAAGAAAATAATATCTCAAACATGCTTTAAAAAAAATAATAATAATATATTAAATGAATTATTATACAAATTAATTATCATACAAATATAAAGATAAATGTTGTGCTAAAAATCTTACAACAAATAAATTGTTTTTGAAGGAATATTATAGATGCAATATGTCCCCGTGGTAGAATCGCAGCGATACGGCGACATTGTCGCAGAACAATACAGAGATCTTGCAGAAAGAATTTTCCTTTAGAAAGCAAAATTTTGGCTTTCTTTTCTGCAAAAATGTTCGAAATTTTTTTTTTCACTAAAATTATATTTAAATGATGCCTTTTTCGCGCATCGGAAGGGAAAGAAATTTTCTAAATTTTTCGATTCTTATTTGAGAAGAATGCAAAATAAAAATATTGAAGCAAAAAATTTCTTTTCTGTAGAAATGTTTGAAAGATTTTTTTCCTCCAATTCAATAGATGTCTTTTTCATGCATCAGAGGGGAAGAAATGCTCGCGATTTTTTTAATTCTTATCTGGAAAAAAAAATTGCTTTTCTTTTCTTTCACAATTTTACAATTTTTAAATATGTGATGATGATTTACAAAATGCGAAAAAAGAAATAATCAATATGTTTTCCTCTTACAAAATATGAGAATATCGACCATGATATTAGAATAAAAAAATATTACATAATCATTTAAAAAAAATGCATACAATTTTATTACATCCAAATAGTCTTTTTTGTAAATACAATGTTTCTGTTACTTTAAATTTTAAAATTTAATTAATAACATGTATATTAATTATTATTAATAGTTTCTTGCGGAAAGATGTTAGTGCTAGAGAGGTTTATCGCAGAAAACCTAAAAAAATCTGCAACAGTGCAATACGTATACAAACAATACTAAATGCAAATACTTCATAATTTTATGCAGTTACAAATCAATTAATTTAAAATTAATTATGATTATTAATATTTTATTAAATTCTGTAGGATATCACTATGTAATAGTAATTATATAAATATATAATTATAACATATTGATATATTAAACCTGGGTAAACTAATAGAAAAGCCCTTAAAATATACATAATAGAAATAGTATATTTGAGAATTAGAAAATAATAACACAAACATGTTTTTTTTTTAATATATATATATCTAACTGTAACATAAATTATTTCTCCTATGAATCTTAAGATAAATTAAATGTTTCGCTAAAAATCTTATGACAAATAAATTATTTTTGAAAGAATATAATTGGCACAACGTATACAAATAATAAAAACAAATGTTTCATTTCTTATACAGTTAAACAAAATTAAATTATTAGTATTAATATTTTATAAAATATCAAGATGTGATAAATTTATACCTGGATGAACTAACAGAAAAGGCCTTAAACTGTGCTTGTTCAAATAGTTAGCTGTCGCTATGCCTGGTGAAATAATTTGTTGTTCTGAAAAGGAATATCCAAATGAATTTAATTTGGATACTAAAGAGGAATTTGTCCTTTGTGTTTCATTTGTGACAAGACGGAAGGGAATGTGTAGAGACTGTATCCTGAAAATAAATTTAAATAGTTAAAATTTAAAGAAATAAATTGTTAGATAAGTGTTATTTAAAATCTTTAAAGTACAACAATTTATAACTAAGTTTTTAATCTTTGCCTTCACAATTTTAGCCTTTATTTTTTTTAAATAAATATAGAAGAGAAAATGTTTCACAATTTATATATATATTTTAAAAAAATAACTAGGAATCAATAAAAGATTCAACAATGAAACAAAACAAAAATAATAATAACCTAGAGTATTAATTAAATTTAAAACTAAATACTGTCACTTGATAATAAAATTTGACCCTTCGATTTGTAAAAATTTATCAGGGTGATAAAATTATTTAATAGATCAGTCAGAAAAAGTTAGGATTTAATTTTGAAGCTCTGATGAGAAATATTTGCACTATCACAGTGTTTTCACTACAGCGCGAGAATCTCGCATATCTTTTTCTTTTCTCGCATTAAAAAATTATTACCGCGAGAAATTTGCGCGTTCTATAAACATAATACATCTCGCATTTTGGAAAAAGTTTCTCATTACGCTATTAAGAATAAAATCTGTTTCACTTTTCCTCCAGGATCTTTCATTATTTTCAACATCTGCCCCGTTTTATCTAGCTTCCCTATTTACCAGTATTGTTTAGAACCTTTTCGAACAACAGAAAATAACCTTTCCGAACCACGGAACCCCTTTCAGAACACATTTCTCTGCAACCACGTGTTTACCTTAGGTAAGGTTTTGTCATGTAAGACATTCAAATTCTTTATGCGCTAATGTAAGATGGATAAATACCTTGTAAAAGCAAAATCTTCTATGATGATGCAGCAAAAATATTTAATGCTTTAAAAAATGGAAGACGTTAAAAATGTATTACAAATTATAATTTATAATTAAAGAAATGATTTTTTTTCAAGTCTATTTGTGTTTTTTTAGTTTTTAGAAATCTCACTTAACTTTTTGAAATCTCACAATGTTTTTGAGAACGGGTGAGAAATTCTCACCCATTTTTTTTCTATGACGAAAACACTGTATCAGATACATCAGAATATTGCGAAATATTCGAAGCAGTGCGTGAATGAATATTTTTTATTTATCAAAGATTAATAGATACTTCAAACAAATCAAATATATAATAATTTTATATTATTTAAATTTTTAATACATTTATAAACAATTAGAAATTTAAAACTATCAAACCTTTGAATAGCATTCACCGAACCTAAAATAGCTCCACTATTTCCACTTTCATACAAAACGCCTGTAATGTCTAAAAGAATCCCTTTGATTTCAGAGCCCATAAAAGAAGCCATCTAAAACCATAAAACATATGTGCATTCATTTACTTATTCTAGAATGTTTTATAAAGTAGAAAATAGAGATAAAGTTAACTGATAAAAATTCTGAAGTACAGCTTGATTAATATCAAATTAAGTTACATCAAAAATATGCAAATTAAGTATAACTTGAAAGAAGTGTAAATTAAATATTGGTTCCATTTTTAACGACTATAAGTAATTTATATTATTTCAAAAATTAAATCACAGCAAAAATATTATAATAATATAATTATTTATTCAGAATTCAATTAGTTTAAACTTTGTTTTATACATTTCTGATAGCAAAATTAAAAAATGGAAATTGTCTTGATTTTCTCTCATTCAAGAAAAATTTTAATCCTAAAGAACTAAACTTCCAATACATTAAAAGAGTTTAATGTCTGTGTTAGAATAATTTTTTTGTCAGCACTTATAGTGCTTTTTAATTTTATTTCATGATTTGTCAAGATCTCTAGTATTTAATGTTTTCACGACGGTTTCAAAACAAAACAAAAACATTAAACGTTCACACAGTTGTAGATAAGAAAGGGTAAAACGATATTTTAAAAAAATATCTAAAAAATTCATTTATTTATTGTATTTCACATTTATATTTATACAAAATATATCTTCAAGTTCATATCAGGAAGAATTTGCACTTATTGCCTTTTAATAAGAAATTTTGTTTCCTAATTTAATGAAATGTTAATCTGAAATGAAATGAAGTGGCTCTCTGTTTAAATGGTTTTGATGTTTGGTCTGTTGTTGTTTTGATTGCGGTGTTGCGTTAGCTTCTCACAAATTAATTATTATTTAAAAATTGATTAAGTATTAAAATTCATTGATGTGATGCTTTTAAAGCAAGAACTCTAATTTGTCCTCATATGCCTAATATATTCTATATTTTATTGAGGGTGAGATCTTTGTTTTATATGTGTAATCTTTATTGTTTTCCTGGGAATATATCTCCGTTTTCTTCAACTTTTTAAGGTATTAGAGATCATGTTACAATGAATTAATATTATTTCACACCTTCTTTTTTAGATGTAGTACCGTTTTTATATTATTTGTGAATTTACTAGTTATTAACTAAACTACACAACTAAAAATCATTTTTCCTATATCATCAAGAATTTGATAAAACAATATAAAGTTTAATTAAATTAGTTTAAATATCCTGTTAAATGAAATGTTATTTGTGATGGATGGGTTATCATTAGAAAATAAATTTCAAAATCTTTAAGTGCTACAAATTGCATTGCAAAAATTTGATTGCTATAAAACAATATTAAAACAGAAAAAGAATGCGTTAATAGTTTCTTTCATAATATATATATATATATATTTATAAAAAAATGAAACCAAATAAGTGTTTACTTATTTATTTTTATAAATTTATTATAGTCTCTAAATTACAGGAATAATTATACTCATAGCATAATGTTTGTACAATTTGAAAAAAATCGACTTGAAGAAGCCCCCAGATTATCTAACAATTTAGATTTTTTGACATTACCTTGTATATTTTTGTATAACTATATAGTTACTGTTATAAATGTACTATGAAAACTTCACATGCATTTATGATTTTGTGACTATCACCTTAGATTTTTGCATATTTTAGCCAGTTTTCGACACTTTCAAGTTGAAAACCAAATCTTATTAAATTATTTCATGAAATATTCATATTGTTATTTTTACCAAATGAGGCACTAGCTATTATTCTTAATAGCAGCTGCAAGTAAATATAATATTTATATGATAATGGAACCTATGCAAACATCAAAATATGAATAGCTATATGACTTAAATCTACAACAAGGCTGAGGCCGGATATTTGGATATAAGCTGAATTTATTTTGTTGAAAAGTAAAATTTGATGTGTATTTCAGGCATAATTCTTACATATTTAGCAATTAAAATGCATAATTTTGTAAAAGAAGTTACTTTGGGTGTGAATTTGAAAAAATATTGATAAAAGTTAAGAAATAAATGACTAAATTTTCCCTAAAAATTTTCAAGAAATAATAAAATATAAATAAGTAAGTCTGTTTTTAATGAACCCTCATCATCCAAATTTTGTATCCAAAGTCTTTAGATAATAATTCGAATCATTAACTTTTAAATTGAATTTAAAATGAAATAATTAAAAAAAGGATGTTTTTATTTAGTATATTATTTGATTTATCTCTACTTGAAAATTGTTCTTACGTTGTTTTATCTTTTATATTTCAGACTCATGATACAATAATTAAAAATGAATTTCGAAAGCTATTCGATTCCAAAAATCAATGAATGTGAACCAGCTGTACCTACTCTGAATTCTTTACCAACTTCAAGTCTTTCTAATTCTTACTCAGCCTGTTCTGAAAAGAATGAACTTCATACTTTAACTCTTCCAGAGAATCATGACAATCCAGATAGTCCACCTCCTATTGAATCCAATGATGGAAACAAGTACAAAAACATTTTTGAAAGAACTATTTAAATTGTGGCTTATAGTTGTGTTTAAAACATAAATCTGTTATTTATTTATTTTTTCTTTGTGCATCTGTAATTAGATTACATTTTCTGATTTGTTAATTTTGTTTTTTCTCTGTACTCATTTTTTTTATCATTGTACAGTAGGGAACCGATTATCCGGAACGATCGGGACCATCGCTATTCCGAATAACTGATTTTTCCGATTTTCTGAGTCGATACAAAAAGCCGTTTTAACCCAACTATAAAAAAAACAAAAATAGTTGGAAATAATCTTAAAAAGAAGAAAAAACGATGAAGCAATACACTAATGATTATTTCCAAAATGATGGTAAGGTAAGCATCTTTCAAAAAAGAAAGAAAAATCCTAAAATCTTATGAGAGAAAAAAAAATTTTAAAAAATGGTGGGAAAATTTATCGAATTTCGTTCCGGTTTTTTGGTTTTTTGATTTCCGGATAACGGGTTCTGTACTGTATTTGCTTATGGATTTGTGGGTAATGATTATCCAGATATTTCTCTTATTGAATTGATTTACAGAAACAAGTAAATGCATAATTTTTAATGTTCTTTCATTTTGTATTATTATTTATTTTTGCTCTATAGTTAAGGTATGATTATGGAGAAATATTTCTGTATCAGTACCTGCGTTACTGTTAATTTCCGCTGTGATAACTCTTTGCAGTTCTGACACTGGTGTCTCTTTTATATATATTTTTTTTTTCTTGCTCTCTAATTGCAGGCAAAAATATATTTTTGCATTTTTTTATTTTAAGAAACAGTCTAATGGTTATTTTAAAAAAAATCTAGATTATCGGAATTATATTTATACTAAAATCCTAAAAAACTAGTTAGAAATTTTGTTTTCATTCATATTCAAATATGTATCAATAATTGATTTAATAAACTAAAAAAATTTCAATGATAAATAACTGTTTTCCTTAGATCCAAATAATTGCAAATAAGTGTAAATTTTAAAAATTAATGTTTGAATATGAGCTGTGTTTGGAAAATTTAACCTTTAAGGTTGAAACTGGTGTTTCACACTGTATTTCATTACTATAAATTATTAATATGCTAAATATAATATTTTTCACATATTTTGACCTAAATTAATACAAAATAATGAAAGCATAAAAAGTATGTTTCATAAAATTTCTTTTTTTAAAAAATTATGTGGATTAGCTAAAAATAAACTAGAAAATAAAACATCGCACAATGGAGCATTTCAGAGAGTGAAACTATTAGTTATCACTGGGAGATGAACTTAATATTTTCTTTCAATTTATTCCAAGTGCAAGAAAGTACAAGTGGTTTAAAATTCGCATGTCGTAATAAAAATCCGAGTTTTTAAACCACTCAGGAATGCATTGTAAGAACTGCCAAAAAAATTTTTTTTTAAATAACTTGCATTTATGATGAAATCGGCAAAAACTAAGTATGTCCAAAAATTCTCACTTTAATATGCGATTTGAGTTTCGCCTGTTGTATTAATAAACATTGTAAAAATATTGGATTTTCAAAATCATGTAGAAAAGTGCAACAATATCTGCCTGCCTTTAGAAAAATGAAAAAAATTTAAATAGTCGTTTTGATTCATGAGGAAATCGGCATAAATAAAGCACGTCAAGAAGTGGTCAGCTAAATATGTGATCTATTTACTCATGAGTTGTAATATTGGAATAACTGTCTCAGAATTTTACGAACCACATGGAAATTGGTATTTATAAATGTAAAAAAAAGGGCTGAAACGTCATTTGGATTTATGATGAAATTTGCAAAAATAAAACGATTCAAAAAGTGATATCTCAAATCCGAAATTCTTGCATTGTAATATCATATTATAAATTATTGGGCATTTTAAAACCTTGAGGAATTTCATACCAAAAACCGTTGAAAATCGATCAAGAGACAATATACAGGCTATATACACTATCTGCAGAAACAATACATTCACAATAGAATATGTGCAAATTCAGTGCATCGAAAAGTTTTGACTAAAATGTCTGATTCTTTTCATTATTTTTTTATTTTTCAAAAAATAAAAATTGTTGCTTTCAAAAGGTCCCGCGGGCTGCACATCAATAGTCAGCGGGCCGCAGGTTGTGCACCCCTACCTTAAGAATTAGAACTGAAGTATTTTAAAAATTATACAAAACCTCTCAAAAATGGTTCTTGCTGAAAATTTAATCAGAGTTTTACACATTTAATAACTATACCAATATTAAGAACAAATTATGGTTAGAAATATACATCATACATTGCTGCTTATTTACTATTTTAATTTGTGTTTGATATCTGAACAGTTGTTACTTTTTTGAAATTCTAGTAAATGTTTTCTTTTTCTTAAATTTTTCAGAGTAAATTCTGATGAATGTCATTTGTGCCAATATTGTGACCGTGTTTATCCATCCAGGACAAATCTATCAAGGCATATATTTCGAGTTCATAGAATTCCTGATTCGAATAAAACTCCTGATACTCCTGGTAAAATATCTATGTTATTTGTAAATTTTTCTTTCATTATTTATAAACTCTGGTAATTCTTACATTGTATAAATTTTTGATTTTTTGAAGTTTTTTTTAATAACTTTTGATTTTTTTTCTTAAATAAATCTAAACGAATATTAAAATATTTTAATTAATGGTAAATAAATTTTAATTGTTTAGAATTATGTGTAGTTATTAATTTTTAAAGATTTAGTAATGCAACAATTTGATATTATGTCCTTCTTAAAATAAATAATTTCTTTGTATACGTTTTTCCTTTGGGTTTAATAATCATGAATTTCTATTTTCAGGTATAATATGTTATGGTATAATAAGTTAATATGGAATTTGTGAATATAATTAATGAAATTTTCATAAATAACTTTGGAGCCTTTTCTTTAATAATGCCTAAACATTTGTTCCCATGTTTCAGTATTAATTACTTTTTTATTCCTATAAAACTCATGAAAATTGCTTAACTATACTGGGTCTTAGAATATCACTACTAGTTATAAGCATAACGCTCATTGTAAATATTAATTAACTGCTTATTATAATATAAAATTTTATAAACATTACATAGTATTTAGTATTCTTTAATTACTACAGAATATGTTATTTTTCTTTTTAAGTTATCTGAGTTTGATTTCATTACTTTAATGCTCTATACCAGGGATGGGCAAACTTTTTTGGTCGAGGGTAAAATATCGAGGAAAAAAGTTCGGTGGGCCGAGTAGATACTTCTAAAAAAAACGTATACAAGCTTTAATTTAAATACTTAATGAAATTGCGATTTCATTTTTAAAAGTTCCTTATATTAAGGTTTGAAGTGAGATGTGCTTATTTTAAGAAACGAGGCTAAATGCTTGCCTGTTAGTCTACTTCTGAAAGGATTTCTTATAAGGTTTAATAGTTGAAAACACTTGTTCACATATATAAGATGAAGCAAACATAGTCCTGATTTTCTTGGTTTTACAATGACATGATATGTGTGCAGTCTTTCCATACGCAATAAATAATGTTACAACTCGTGCCGGCAGAAAAATCTACTCCTTCGAGCTTAAAATTTCGCGGTCTACCACATGTGAAGTACAATTCACCTATACTAGTTTCCATATGTGTGCTCCTCGAGAAAGACAAATGCTCGTTGGAGCCAATCTACGGCTATTCTATAAAGAACTTCTGCTTTCAACATTTTATATTGAAGCTGTCTGTATTCCATCTTGTATTATCCATGTTGTACTATTTCCATCAATTTATATTTTGTAGAACAAAAATAGGGAAAGTAAAAAGGTCATCAGTAGCTTTAAACATAGTAGACAAGAAAATGGATATATAATGTATCTTGTTTATATTCACCACGGATCGGCAAGTTAAAATTCAATCCGCGGGCCGGATAAAACCTTCTAGCGGGCCGTAGTTTGCCCATCCCTGCTCTATACAATTACCTGTGATAGAATATAATTTTAAAATGTGTTACTGAATCGCTTCTTCGTGAAAGGTTTTCTGTGATTATGTAAAAGTACATAATTCAAGATATTAGTCATTTCTTTCAAATATTGTATATTTTTTAAAAAAGCATTAACATAACCTGCCAATTTAAGCAACTGTTATGTATTGCAAAACAAATTCACAAAGTTATTTTTTTAAATACTATTATTATACATTAAAACAACTGTTATACATTGTGTTTTATTACAGTTACTTTAACTGTTAGTGGCTGCAATTAAAGCAACTATTTTATTATTGCTAAGCAAATTCATATGTTTGGTTCTAATTATGAATTCCAATGGAATTCTAATTATATAATTTTGTATCCAATGGGCTATCAGCATTTTCAAACTTAAAAATAATCTTCGTTACAATTTGCATTTTATTTTTGTTTTGCCAATGCTTAATGACAGCAAAAGTTACTTACTGTCGTAATAAAAAAACAGGTTAACTTTATGCTGCTATTTTCTGTATAAAATTAAAGCTGTAAAAAGAGCACAAATAATGTAACATATACAGTCATAGGATCATCCCTTACATTTCAAAATTTTAAAGGAAAATGAATTTCCAAACATTCAGAAAAAAATGGATTGCTAAAATCATCATCATGGTTGGCCACACATGGCATAGTGGGCCAATGCCTTCCTCTAAAGATTTCTCCACAACGTTTTCTGATTTATCTTTGATCTCCAATTGATTGTAGAAAAATCAGATTCCACCGAGTCAGCCCATCTCAACCGTGGCCTTCCCCGCTATCTTGTTCCAGTGAGTCTAAAAAGCAATATCTTTTCTATTGTATTTTCGTCACTAATTCGAATCGCTTAGACCATCCAATTCATTCTATTTATTTTAATGTATTTAATAATATCTGGTTGCTTATAAATCTGGATTGCTGAAATATTACTAGCTAAATTATTAAAGTGTTTAAAAATGTGAAATGTGTCTAATTCAGTTGATAAAAAGCAGGGGTTGATAATTTTAGCAGAAGAAAATTCAAAATTTTTGTTATTGTACTTACAAAAAATTTTAAAAAAATTTTTTTACGAATAAAACTGCATAAAATTTCTTTTTTCAGCTGCTGATTCGAGAGGAGCGGTTTGTTATGAAGAAGGGTGTAATAATGAAAAGTTTAAAAGCACTACTGAATTACGCAATCATCTTGTAAATAAGCATAACTTCATTTTTCAAGTCATCAAAAATGTGCTGGACACTGAACAAGATTTCATAACATGGAAAAAGAATGTAGAAGAAGCATGCAATATTAAATGGGTTAAACAGGCTGCTAAAAAGAAGGCATCTGGCTGCACTGTTGTAACTTACATTTGTCATAGAAGTGGTAAATTTCGTAGTAGTGGTGCTCGAAGAAGGGCCCTAAAATCATGTAAAATAGGTCATTTTTGTACAGCATATCTAAAAGTAGTTATTTTGGAAGATAATAAAGGTTATCAAGTTGAGTTATATCCTGATCATTATGGACACGATGTCTCCACCTCTGAAGATAAGAAAGTTAAAGTTCAAGTAAGTTTTCAGCACTCATTAAGAAAAAAATATGTTAGGATAGGATAAGAACAAATGTAACTTTATATTTGTTCTATTTATCATCCATTTGCATAAAATCAGGATTGAGATAATTTATTAAGTTAAGATATGAATCAATCTGAAAGTTTAAAGCAACTTAAGTAAAATTTTGATATATTCAGCACAAAAAACTTATTTTTTTAGTTGACATTTTATTGACTTTTAAACTTTCATTAAGTGAATTTGAAATGTATTGCATGGAATTTTTAGAACCAAATTTTGTATGTAAATAGGTTAAAAATATTATGTAGCAAATCATTGGAGGAATAGCTTTGTATTTAAATTACTATTCAGTCTAAGTTATTTTAAGAACAACTGTCTACAAATTTAAAAATTTACCATCAACAATACTGTACAAGTAGTTTTTTATTGCTTTTCAGATATTAAATAGAAAGTTAATTTAAGCAACTTTAATCATCTAAACATTTATTATCATTTATAAGAATTAATGTACTTAAAAACTATTTATGGTTTTGTTTAAATTGGAAATATTAACTTTACATAATTAAAAAAGTACTTCTTCAAATGTTAACTATTTTTTATATTTTGAACATGAAACTAACTTTTATTATGGAAAATACATTACATTTTAAAAATCGTAAAATACTTAACAAATTTTATAATCCATTGAGCATTTTTTTTTTTCCTTTTAAAGATAATTTGTTTTATTACAGGTTGCCAAATGCTTGAATAATCCAATTAGAGGTATTCTTATCAGTACAACTGGTGTTCTGTTTGAAAATGGGAAATATGAAGCTATTAAAGGTTCTGTAATTGCTGTTGAAAGGTATATTATTTTGTTTGTTTGCATATTCCTTTTCCTATGTGCTATTAAATTGATTATTCTTTTTTAAAGTAGAATTCTTTTTATGCATAGAAAAGTTAAAAATGTGTTTATTTAAATAAATATTTTACTGCTCTGAAAATAGTAAATATTCTAATGTAAAAATATAATACTTTAATCATAAATCGACTTATTTCTTAGAATTTAATGCATGCTCTGTATACTCTTACAGTAGAATATAAATTTCATTTTTGAAAGACAGCATCTATATTTACAGACAAGCAGGTTTTACCATAAAATATGTTATTTTTCTTTTTGAGTTAGACAATTCAATGCTATTATTAGCATAATAATAATTCAATAAGCCATCAGAAATAATTTAAATGTCTGTTTTGTTTCATAATATCAGTTATTCCACAGACTTAGGAAAATGCAGATTCTTAAAACCACATATTCTATAATTTGGATTCTTTTTTACTATAAGTGAGCCTTATTTATGATATGAATTTGCTACCTCTTTATTTATCAATTAATATTCACATTTATACTATTATTTTTTCTATTCATAAACAAAACATAGGATTTCAAATCAAAAGAGTTAATATTTAAGCTATTAAGGCTTTTAATTAGGACTGACCAAACACCTGCATCAAGGAAAAGCAATGATGCAATTTGTCCCTCAGAATCATTCAAATTTGTTTCTACAGCTATTATGACAACAAAAAAAAAATAATAGTTTTTGATACGTATTATTTCGATTTTTATTTTCCATATAAAAGTCAGCTGGTACACTGCTTTTTTCCCCCTCTGTTGGATAATTATTTACCTTAAAGGAAGCATCATAACTCATTTTTTTGCATCCCTTTTCTGACTTTTGAAGCATTTGAAAGGGGTTATAGTGAGTAAACAAATTCGCTGAATTATCAATTCAGTGAATATATCATTGACTATATTAATCTATGTGCATTCTCATTCTTTGCAATCCAATACCCTAAAATTCCCAAAGAAAACCTAAATGTTTATATTGGAATAAAACTGTACAATAAAAGGTAGTTTTTGTTTTGATTTCAGGTTAAGACAACTTGGTATTACTATTAGATTCATCACAAATGATTCACGGAGAACTCCCAGTGACCTAGTGAAAAAGTTGCAGACATTAGGTTTCAGCGTATTTGAAGAAGAAATTTGTTCCCCTATACCTGTGGTCATTAGTACTTTACTAACTTTAAATTTAAGACCTTATTTGATGGTTCATCAAGGTAAGGATTAAAAAAAGAAAGGTTGTTGGCAATACAATGGAATCAAACACTGTTTCTAACTAAAAATGTGTTTTTGTTGTAGATATAAAACCTGCCTTTGAAAAATTAGATCAGTCCTCTCCTAATTGTGTTGTAATTGGTGATTTGGGTGGAAATGTTTCTGCAGAAATGTTTAATAAAGCTTATAATGTTTTAACTTCCTCTCCTAGCCCTGTTCTTGTTAAGTTAGGGAATGAGTAAGTATGCTTTGGAATAATATATATTTTACATTATTTTTTTCACCAAAGACAATAATTTTGCCTTATGTATTATAAATAATACATTATATACAGTGTTTTCATCGTAGAAAAAAAAATGGGTGAGAAATTCTCACTCTTTCTCAAAAACAGGGTGAGATTTCAAAAAGTTAAGTGAGATTTCTAAAAATGAAAAATAATAAAAAAACACGCAAAGAGACTTGGAAAAAAATCATTTCTTTAATTTTAATACATTTTTAACATCTTCTAATTTTTAAAGCATTGAATATTCTTGCTGCACATCATATGGAAAATGTTCTACGTCTACTTTTTTATCAGCTATTCTCATTAGGTTGCTCAAATGCATATTTGTTTCGTTTTGATCGTTTCTACCCACATTTGTTTCATTTTCATTTGTCCGTTTCGGAGTAGAAGATATTGGCTTTACAAGGTATTTGTCCATCTTACATTAACGAGCAAAAAATTTGAACGTCTTACATGAAGAAACCTTACCTACGGTAAACACGTGGTTGCAGAGAAATGCGTTCTGAAAGAGGTTCCGTGGTTCGGAAGGATGGTGTTCTGTTGTTCTTAAAGGTTCTGAACAATACTGGTAAATAGGGAAGCTAGATAATGGGACAGATGTTGAAAATAATAAAAGATCCAGGAAGAAAAGTGAAACGAATTTTATTCTAAATGGCGCAAATGAGAAATTTTTTTCAAAATGCGAGAAATTCGCAAATTTTGAAATTGGTTTATAGAATGCGTGAATTTCTCGCGGTAATCATTTTTTACTGCGAGAAAAGAAAAAAATTTGCGAGATACTCGCGCTGTAGTGAAAACACTGATAAACATGGTGCGTAGCGTTTTTAAAAAGTGCTTAAAGGAGCTTATTTTTTATTTTCGTTTTTCAAAAGCCCTTAAAGGTGCTTTTATTGGGTGTATTTAAAAAGTGTTTAATTTTCCCTTTTCGAAAATCAAATTTTTTCTTTACCGTGTAGATTTTTGCAACGTATTATGCAAAAGCGTGGTTTTTCACATTGTTCTATTCAACGTTTTCACAATTCCTTCGAAGACAATGCATTTTGGCTTACCATCGGTCCGTTGGGTATAAAAGCGCCATTCATTGTACATGTTTGATGAAATAATTTTGGGTCCACATGTACATATACTGAGCTGGGTTCCGTGAGATTCTTACACTGTCGCTTGCAACTCTGCTGCGTTTTGCAAGATATTCTCAATTTCAGACTTCATTTCCACCCTCTGAAATTGAACCGAAAAATCTCTCAATCTTTTTATGATGGCAAATATAATCACGAAAAGAGTTCTTTCTCAGAAACTGGTTATTTTATCATGATCATGTAAAGTCTTTGAAAACTGTTTTGCATTTTGTTAGCGTATATGGTGCTTAAAAATATTCTTTTAGTGCTTAAAAAGTACTTAAAAGGTGCTTATTTTTTGATGAAAGATTTGACTACGCACCCTGATATGTTATTATAAAACAAATTATCATGTAAAATTTTTATTTGAGAATATTTTTCTATTGTATTCTAAAAATCTTTTATACTATTTCTTGCTTTGTTTATGGAGATTGTTTTTTATACTAAAGTTATTGTGAAAGTCAGATTTGTTTAATATTGCCATACACATAATTCTTTTAACAAATGTTCAAAACCCATTAAACAGTTTCACTATTAACTAAATACAATTTAAAATGACAATTGATAATGTGTGTTGAAATTATTGTCGTAATTTCTTTTTTTCAATGCTGCTATTAGTCTATTAGTGTATGCTGAACATCTACATTTATCATGTGAGAATAATAATGTTTAACAAAAATACTTTATTCACAACGGGTGGATGCAGAGTGTCAACATTTTCCAGTGTAAGTGTGACCTTATATTTAACAATTATTTTAGACACTCAATGAAGTAATGTGTAAATGTCAACATATGACTGGAAAATGTTGACCTACCTTAATTTTAGTATTTTACAATGACTCGGGCAAAGTTTAGTAAGATCAAAAGTTTAAATTTTAATCCAAGTTCTTTTTCTTTATTTCCATTGACTTTTAATATGTGAGATTTTTTTTTATCAATAAATATTTTCCAAATATATAATTACAAAACAATAAAGCTCAACAACAATGATACAAAGTTAAATTTTAAAAAATAATTTTGAATCACACTATTAAAATATCTCAAAGTACATTAAAAGATATTAGTCATCTTCATCTCTATCAAAATTTAAACAATAGAACTGAAAAGTATATTTGCAGCCTTTTAATATATTTTTGCCAAAATTGGATATACCCTTTATTGTGCTTTTATCAATTGCAGCAAATTAAAAACAAAATTGAGAAATTAGGGACGTAATTAATAAATCAAAATTGTCTGACTTTAAAATTAATAAAATTGAAATGTACCACAGTTAATGACATTTGTTGAATTTAAGAATAGTTTTATCTAATTTTATTTTGATAAAATTATTCTTCATGAATTTGACACAAATTGATTGGATTAAATTTTGATGTAATAGACTCTATGTGCATTTAAAGGGTAATGGCTAATATAAGAATAAGCCACATCTTTAAATTTCCATTTAACATTTTCAATAAAAAAAACATCACAATTTCAATGTAGGCTATATAATGTTCTTCGTTATTGTACTACTATCTTGAACAAATTTCAAAAACGTGTAAAGTATCTGTCTGGAAACAATACTAAGGAATAGTAACTTGAACAAATTTCAAAAACGTGTAAAGTATCTGCCTGGAAACAATACTAAGGAATAGTTTGATGTAAAAATTTCATCTATGGAAAAAGTGTTGCATATCATTACATTACCCAAAGCTCTTAATTTCAAAGTGTGTTTTTTTTAGTCTTACATATTTCTAAAATCCACCAAATCTTGTAGGAATATATTATTTATTTGATTATTTATATTAATTAAATAAAACTATATGTTAAAAGTATTAATAATTTTTTTTTCATTTGCTTTTTAGAAAATACTACAAAGAAAAAAATGAATTGGTTCTTGGTGCTGCATCTTACGCTGCTGCTCTAGAAGTAATACCTTTATCTTATTTATTTAGCTTCAATTCAATTTGTCTCTACTTTTTTTCTGTATTTAGTTTAATCAAATGTTATTATTATTTATTTTAATTATTTTTTTCAATTTCCATACATTTAACTTTTTTATACCTATAATTTCAATTTTATGAAACAGGGATACCCGTGCCCAACGTATGGGCTGAAATAAGCTCGCAAAGCCCTCTAACTTGGTCCCTTTAATGAAGCCCTTTAACTGTCTCAAACATTAATAAATATAAAAGAAAGAAAAATATTTCTTCAGTTGTGTTCTGTACTGATCATTATCAATATATTGTAGAGTATTGGATTACAACCATTTCATTCTGCTAACGGTATTAGGTTCAGTTCATGTAAATTTTTGAAATAAAATGAAAAGAAAGTGATTTAAAATTGTGTTTATTTTAATGATTTAGGGTTGCATGTTTTTTATAAGAAGAGCATTAAATTCAATATTAAAAGCAAGAAAAGTTATTAAGTGAAGTTTGAAAAAATTTCTCTGGGTGTTCCAGGTTTGGCTGACCACCCAGCCAGAACATCTACTCCAGATCCCAAAGTCAAGAAAACTTGGTTGGGCACCGTTGGTTTTTACCCTCTATGAGCTGATGCTGCACTGAGTTAAGTTTAGTTTAGACAAAAATTAACAGTAAATATGTAATCTTCACAACTATGATGAAGAAAAACAACAAACTGTCCCTTTATACTTAATTGACAGTGATTGGCCGATAGTTTTAGATACTTTTATTATTTCATGCTGACCCAGGTTGGTTTTTAGTGGTCCTTGCCCTTTGTACTATGTATTATTAATTTCTAGCTGTAGTGATTAAAAAAATTTCCTAACGTTTTCCATCATAGAATCTAGATTTTTTTTCCATGTTTAACTATCAGATTGGATTATCAATCTGAGTAATCTATAACATGTTGCCAATTAGTTTGTAATTTATGCAATTATAAATTGTTTTCTTTTCTAAAGGGATGTAAAATATAAAATGTAAAATATTTATTTTAGTATGCATGCAGTACTGAAGCTATGGTTGTTGGAAAGCCTTGCTATGATTTTATAACGAGTGCTGTGAATGGTATGGGAATATGCCCCCAGGAGGTTTGTAAATTTTATATATTTTCAACATTTTATACTCATTCAAATGAATTAGTTTTCTTAAAACAATGAATTTAGTTTAGAAATTAGTTTTGTCTGAATTTATTAATTTCTTTTTATATTTTTACACAGTAAATCCATTTAATATTTTTAACTTCGGCATTGGAAAAAGTTATTAATTCTAGTTAATATTGAAACGAAATGTGTTCCATAGTTAAAAACTGTTTAACTTGTGAATGAAAGAATTATTTATTTCTTTAAGATAATCATGGTTGGTGATGACATTGAAAATGATATACAAGCAGCCCAAAGATGTGGTATGAGAGCTATTCTAGTCAGGACCGGAAAATTTAGGTAAGTTTCAATAAGAACTGGTTTATTTCTTTTAAAGTATCAAAAGAAATTTGGAATTGTGCAATATTTTGAATGATTCATGCCTGTTTTATGATAAGTTATCTTTATTTTAAAATTGCTAAAAGCAGTGCTTTCTGTGTTTAAAGTATAGATGAATGTAAGGCAATAGTATAGATTTTTCCAGTTCCAGTTTCCATCTTTTTAAAAGGAGTTTGTTACTCAAAAATTTACATGTGTTGTATCTATTATTTAAGATTAACATCTCGATCATACAGGTTTAAAATTAGAATACAACATATGAAGGAAAAATAGAAAAATACCACCCTGTGGCAAGCCCTCATTCTTCTCATAGTTACTAAAGGTGGAAACTTATGTGAATAAATCAAAAGAAAAATCTTCTGTTGCTCCAACTTTTGCGATTGAGCTAAAGGTCTCCATTCATAGGTTGTGGGCCGTTGGGGGAATCCATCTCTGGTTGAGGTGCACGCTATCCTTGTAGTGGTACAATTTAATAATTATAAAATTACTGGCCATATTACAACTTGATTGTTATTAACTGTTTACTGTATTACTTGATGCATAACAGATGTTTGTTCTGCAAAATCATTTTTTGAAGTGATATGACGACCTACAGGGTGTAATTCCCCTACAACATAATCCAAAATTTGAATAGTTGTTGTCCATATTAACTTAGGTTTCCTTTGGCCAGATTTTTAATTTTTTAAAGATTTCAAGTCATTATGAACTGCTTTAACAACCTGCAAAGTGTAATTTTCATTCAGTTGTTATCCATAACAGCCTATGTTGTGGTGTAATTACACCAGAATTATGGTGGATTTCGGCTTGGCCAGAGTTTTGGTGATTTCATGTCTTTCTAAACTGTTACACCCAATTTCATCCAAAATTTTAACAGTTATAGTGCATAACAATTTAGGTTTCTACTTACCTGATATTTGTACAGGGTTATGTCAAGTTATTCTGTTATTAGTTTTTATCATATGGTTAAATACTAATAATTGTTAAATTTTGTACAAAAAATTTCTTATTATTGCTTTAATGTCAAAATGTCTTTAAGTAATATGAATTAAGTCTTAACTTCTTATTCAAGTTTTTTGATAACTTTATTTAAACATTTTTTTTTTATCAATTTTATTTTTAATCATAATCTTATTTTTCATCATAATCATATTTGTTCTTTTAAAGATAATTTTAAGCATTCTGAAATTTTTTAAGAGATTGGGTCACACTAGCAGCTATAAAAATAAGCATATTTTGAGAATTTTGTTTCTGCAAGACAACAGATCATAAATCAAAAATTTGAAGAAAAAAATGCTCATTATTATGCACTTGGTGAACCGTAAATATTAATTTTTGTGGAACTATATAAAACATATTGGTGACCATATAGCATTTCTTCATTTAGCCAATCTTTTCGAAAGGTGTATGGCCAATTGAATAACGCCTGCAATTTTTTATGCAAAATGAAAAGCAAAAAAAAAAATTTGATTATTTTTGTGAATAGGTTACAAAAACTGTAAGTTTTTTTTAATATATATATATTTAACAGTTGGGCAAAAGTATCAAATTCTTTAAAAAAATATATTTAGAATTACTAAAAAGTTGTAAAAGAGAAAAAAAACTACACTAATATTAAACAATGAGAGGTGCTTTCATAAATAGTGTTATTATAAATATACAGTTAAAATTTGAAGTCAATCACTGAAGAATGCCAAGTTATGACTTGAAATTTATAGCTTTAAGGTATATGCTTTTGAAGTTTTCTAAATGCATCTAGTGGACTTAAAAGACTGGTAAAAAATTCAGATTTTAGTACTTATATACCAGGGGTTTGCAACTTACAAATTAAAAGAAGTAGATTTTTAAAAATATTTAATTGTTATTAATAATATTTTTAAAAATATTAAATAAATAATAAAAATTCAGGCTACAATAACTATAATGTGCAACTATGCATTAAACAATTAATGTGCCACAGATATCTAATTGTTAATATATAAAACTTTAAAAGGGTTGGGATTAAAAATTACATAGTAGCACACAAAATGTTCAATGAGAAAATTGAGGTTTGTCTGCTGCAACCACCAGAGAATAGATATTTACATTTTAAATTTAAACTTTACAAATGTGTGTGTGAATATTTTCGTCCTTAATGAGTGGTTTTAAAAAGTTAAATCGGAGGATTTCTTCAAGAAAATTTCTGATACGCACATACTAGATTATATTCACAAAATACAGAAAAAATCAAATAAGAAAGAGCAACATACGCGATTATTTTTGTATTTGAATAAATATTTTCTTCAATGCAAAACCTGAGAATAAAATTTTTTGCACCGTTGGTATGATAAATTTCCCAAAAACGAAGAAATTAGGTTTTTATTAACGAGAAGAATATTTTAAACCCATATAGATTTTCAACGAAAATTGTCCGCAAAAAATGACACTAATATATTTTAGTTCGCGGACCACAAAAGAAGGCTTCGCGGGTCGCCAGTTGGAAACCCCTGTTATATACTTTTTCCTCACATAAAATTTTCGGTGGATTGTTTTAAGGTATTAAGGCTTCTTTTAAGCAAAAAAAAAAAGAGAAATTTTTTTTCTCCAAAGTCCTTAAGTAGCCTAACATTTTTTTGCATGAGGGGATCTTAACTTATTGGTACCTGCTCGTGCCAAACACCATGACTGAGGCCCAAAAGACTCTATACATACGTATTTAAAATGTGTGTATATATAATTTTATATATATATATATANATATAAATATATGTATGTATGTATGTATGTATGTATGTATGAGAGGTGCCAACTTGCTCCGGACAGCAAATATATATTTTAAAGTGGTAGCTTATCAATTTCATATCTTGGATTAGTAAATTCAATTCAATAGATTTTTAGCCACCACTGTTTCTAAATAATTCATAGGTTTATATAATTAGCCACTTCATGAATCTTTTGTCATGCTATACCTTTTAAAAAGCAAGCAAAAATAGTCAAATATTTGCAAAATTTACTTTGCCATTTTTCTAATTAATTTGGCTTGTCCGGAGCAGTTGGCATCTCTGTATATATATATATATATAACACGAAAAGGATAAAAAGAAAAAGAGAAAAATGAAGAAACGTAACGAAAATTGATAAGTTTTATTTACTGGGCATAAGCTGCAAGTTTATAGAACTCATAAAATAAGCTCAGAAAGTAGAGAAAACATGGGAAAAAATTACAGAAAATGGAAAGAGAAGAAAATTATTGAAATAAAATAACATAATTTAAAAAAGAAAAAATTTCTCCGGATTTTTATTGAAAAAATTTTTGAAAAATTATTTTATTTTATTTTAATAATTTTGTTCTTCTCTTTTCATTTTTCTGTAATTTTTTCCATGTTCGAGCTACATCTTTACAGTTTGTCCTACTCTATGAAAAATTTTCATCAAAATGTGTCGACTTTTTGGTGCAATTATTTATACGGAAATTTTCCTATGCATGATGTTTTAATGTCATTATCTATAATTTGTTTTTTAATATAATTGATGGTTTTTTAGACCAGATGATGCAAAACATGAAGTCATCAAACCTGATACAATAGTTAAAAATCTTGCTCACCTAGTCGACATGCTAGTTCTTAAATCTAGGCGTGAGAACTCTACTAAGTGTTCTTCTGATAGCATTCCTAAATATCCTCCAGAGCAGTGCAAAAAAACAATGAACAGAACTTCAAAACCTATGGAACAACAACCTCAAATTCCACCACCACCACCCGCAACAACATATGATGTTTATCCTTACTTATACCGTTCAGATGGCAGCTAATATTTATTTTAAGCTTAGAAGAAAAAAAATTTAAGCTAATTTTACCATATCTTTGTTTGTATAAATCCTAAATTTTCCTATATTCAGCAATAATTTTATAATATTTTAATTATTCTAAGAATTGTCCTCGTCTTATCTACAAAAAACTTTTTGAAGCTGAGAATATTTTTCCAATAATAATTGCATTATTTACTGCTAAACTGTCTCTAAATCAAAAAAAAAGTTTCTAGATTGGTTTTACCATATCTTTGTTTGTAAATCCTAAATTTCCCGGTGTTCAACAATAATCTGATACAATTTTAATTTTTCTGAGCATTACACTAGCCTTATCTACAAAATACTGTAGGAAGCTAAAAGTATTTTTCCATTAATAATTGAATTATCTACTGCTAAATTGTCTCTAAATCAAAAAATTATTTCTAGGCTGGTTTTACTATATCTTTGTTTGTAAATCCTAAATTCCCCGGTGATCAGCAATAATCTGATACAATTTTAATTATTCTGAGAATTATTCTAGCCTTATCTGCTAAACACTGTATAAAGCTACAAATATTTTTCCAATAGTAATTGCATCATCTACTGCTAAATTGTCTCTAATTCAAAAAAAAATTTCTTGATTGGTTTTACCATATCTTTGTTTGTAAATTCTAAATTTCCCAGTGTTCAGTAATAATCTTATACTATTTTAATTTTTCTGAGAGCTGTCCTAGCTTTAACTTATCTACAAAAAGCTGTAGAAAGCAAAAATATTTTTTAGACGATAACTGTATTATCTACTGTTAAATTGTCTCTAAGTCAACACTGTAATGACTATGACTTGTTATAAATTCAAAAAGTGATCAGAATGTAATAGTATTTTAAAACCCAACCATGGAACTAGCAATACTAAATAGCATTTGATGCTAAATGCCTTTATGATGATTCATTGATATGAACTGTCACTTTATGGTAAAGAAAAAATTTATTTTGTTTTACAATAAAACTGCTTTCAAATAAGTTTTTTTTTTTTTAACATGCATTCATGTTTTTGCTAAATTTCAATCATAATGTATTATTTCAATATTTGTTACTCTCAAACTGAAAATTTCTGTGAATTGAACTTTTAATTTTAAAAACTAAGCAATGTTATTTCTCAATTAAACATATTTTCTTTTAATGACTACTTACTATATAATAATTGTTATATAATAATTGTTTGGTAGAATTGGAATTTGTCATAATAAAATGTTACACAAGCAGTTACTATTATATTACAGTTTTTTAATATTTAAATATTAAATTTTTTTCTCCATTTTCAATATTTAACTTGATTAAAGATGTTTAAAAGATTTCTGCTGCTGAGATTTCGGAAGTTCCTCTTTTATATTGCTCAAAATATATTAAGCAATATATATACAAGTAAATTATTTTTTGTAATTTGAATTTTTTGTCTAAAATATTTATTAAATGGATTCATTTCTAAAAATATATTTTAGAAAATCTATGCTTTATTATAAGAACAACCAATGTCTATATTTCAAAATATGATATATTGATCTTTTCATGATATATTGATTCAAGAAAGGTGATTCTTTTTTTCTGATAAAAATAAGAGGCAATTCTTTTCATTGAACATTAACTTTAGTTGTTTGTACACTAAGTTTAAGAAGAACCTGAGTTATTTTCTATTAGTACAATCTGCTATATACCAATGCAATAATTAATGATAAAAAGAACTTTGTTATGAAGCAATATATAACTATTAAAATATTTAGTTGGTAGTTTTAATAATATTAAATTAAAAAAGCTAATATTTAAAAGTATGCTTCTTATTATGTATATCACAGATAATTTAATTGTACATTAATAATTTTAAATTCTACTCAATTTAAGAAATTAATAAGTAACTGAATGCTATTTTAATTATAAAATTGTTTATAGTGATATGTTTAATTTTTTTGTTATGAATGATTATATTAAAATAATTTGAGTCATATGTGTACATACTAATCATATTGTATTATTTTTGTAAGCATATGTACAAAGTATTCAATGTATATTCATTATTATGCTTGTCTCATTTTCATTCATTGTGTTAGTCTTGTATGAATGAAATTTACTTAAAAGAAAAAATGAGAAGTGAAGAATGGAATAAAAATAATGAATGTTTTTAGAATTGGGATATTTCTTCATCTTTCATACTCTAGGTGAAACAAATTACAAATTTGTTGAAATGTAGAAGTAGATCTAGTTGGAGATTAAGGTTCAGTCTGGCTAACACCAAAGAATTTAAGTGACTAAAATAATGATTCTGTTTTTTAAGTTATAAGATCTAGAGGTAATCAAAATTACATTGATTATCATAATTTAATATTTTTTCTTCCTTAACACATAGACTGTCGCCTCACTCATATTTTCTTTTTGAAATTTCAATGAATTAGGGTAAAAATTTTAAGTTATACTCCTCTTTACTCGGCAAAGATTCAAAAACTGAACGCGTAAAGTGGCGAGATGAGAAACAGAGGCAGAGCAACGGGCACAAAGAAACAGGCACGATACCATAGCAACAAATGGCGCAAGATATTATTCTTGTTACCACCTAAGACTGGCATTATTAAAATGTCGGCAAGAGCACTTAGCAGAATACGCTTCATGTAACAGTACTCGTGGCCTGAAGAAGATTTCACTGTAAAGAACTGCGTCAGTCAATGTGTTAAAATGTCACTGATTTGGCAAAAACTATGGTAAAAATTAAATCGCATAATGGAGAAAAAAAATCTGCTAATGACAATGTTAATTTGCCTACGTATTTCTTTCTCCTGACCTTTTCCATTTCATTTTAAACTTCTGCGCATTATAATAGGGGGCGTTATTTTTTCAGTTTTTAGTGTTTTCTTTTCTTCTACTTGCTTTTGAAGTTGATGCTTGACCTGTGACTTAGTGAGTTTTTATTTTTCTGATGATTTTGATTGATTTTCTTTTCTTAATTTGTTAATTATTTTGAATGTATCTTGTTTTTCCTGGACCTCTATACAAAACCATCGGGGTACTGAGGGAGTTATTTTAAGCATTTGCTTCTCCCTCAATTAGAAATGGTTTTGTTTTTAATGGCTACCAAGGCCGGTACCCCCTGAAGACGGCAGCTTTGGTGGTCATATTTTTATTTTTATTTCCTTCGTTTCTTTTATTGATTCTTTTTTCTGAAATTTCTGCTGCTTCTTAGCGCGTTTTTTTTTTCAAAGAAGTTTTATCCATTTCGAATTTAATTATTTGTGTTTTCTTTTAGTATTACTAAGGACTAAATGCTATGTAGTGGACATTTAAGTTTATGTGGATGTTATTCTAAAAATGCAGAGAGAAAAGTAATTTGTTTTTCAAGCAAATTTTATACTATATCTTAATTTGCACTAAGGATTGAATTACGGAATAAAATTTTGGTACAAATGATGGAATAAAAGTTTAATTTTTTGTAAGTCTGTTTTTGATACTTACTGTATCAGGTTACAATCAGATTGGACCTAAACAGATATTAATTTGTGTCTTCAGCGCAACTCCTTATGTATTCATAATACACTTTTTATTATTTGAGTTATGTGCGTACATAGTAATCATAAAAAAAGAGTATTATGTTTTTAACTAAACTATTTAACATATTGAGAATACCCAGTTGATTATGCTTTATCAGTTACTTCTGAAAGCTCAAAAATATATATTTTTTAAATTGTATTCGAGCCAACATATAGACCAGATATCTAAAAAGTGGAGGGTAATATTTTAAAACCACTCCTTGGAAAGTTGGAGGAGATAGTAATATGGGTTTGTTGCATTCTGTTTAGGGAATTATATTTTTCTATCCAGTTTCAAAATCAATTACAAAGTATACTGATGATGCTGCTCACTGAAAAAAAACATAACACTATGTTTTAAATAACAACCATTTACAGTGTGGTGCAGTCTGAGAAAAAAAAATTAGCGCATGCTTATGCTAGTATTTTCTATTTGAATGATCTGGTATGCAGAAAAATACATTGTTTTACCGTCTGAAGCACCCTCTGTTGACAAACTTTGTAACTATAGTAAATTATCTAGTGTTCTTAGCAGAACAAAGCAAACTTTATATCGCCATTTGTTTTTCCTCAACAAAAATCAAGGGAAATAAATTTAAAACCACTGTAAAAAGTGAAAATTATAATAAGTTACTTTATTTACAAGAGCGTACACATTTCTACACTTAAAATAAATAAACACAAACTTGACAATTTTAAAGCACAGAAAATATATGCTTATTTATGTAATACATAGATATAATGCCTCGTTCATAGATATCTATCTATATATAATCTATTTATAATTTCTATCTATGTCTATATGTAAAACTAATGTCTGATCTAAAAAATTTCCTTTAGAAATTATAGCGAAATAGTGTTACATTTTAGTTTTCTGAACCAACTAAGCAGTTTGAAGGAAACTTGCTTGTTTGGTATTCCTTTTCTTAACAACCCCAAGATCTCTGCTGAAAAAACGTAAAATTAATAAGATTTAAAGTTTGCATAATAAATTATTTTTATAAACTTTCTTTCCGTTTTCAAAAATGTTATTAAAAAAAATGACATTGAAATATCTCCTTTGTAGGTCTGCAAATGATATTTGAATTCTATTGTTTAATAATTACTATCACAAAATAAACTTGATAAACATTGGTAATTAAAACTTATCTTGTTCTACATCGTTATAATTATTTAAAAAATAACTTAATGAAATATTTTTTTATAAAACTATAATTTATCAAATATTTGATATTGTAATCTTAATTACTGCGTCCTAAAATTGTGGTATTATCTGCCCAAAGCAGGTAATAATCCTCCAAGTCCAAGCAAACCAGCACCAGCTGCTAGCTTTCCAACTATCTTACTTTTCGACCTGGAACCTGTAAAAGATAAAAGCATTACTAAGCGCTGTCAATAAATTACGAGGCAAGTTATAGGTTTTTATGAAAACCCTTGTTAATGTAAAAAATTAATTATTTTTTCCTATCGCGAATCTGTGACCGAACGTCCTTATCCCTCCCACGTTTTTACCTCTACTACACCCCTAGATTTAATTTATTAACAATCCTCCGTTATTGCAGTCCCGTAGTGGGCTGATCGATAAGACACGGCTCACCGAAGTCAAGCATCACTTGTGCGGGTGGGTGGCCACTAGGATCAGTCTGCATAGGGACCGAGGGTATGCGGTATGGGTCCTCGTTAAACTGTTCTACCGTAAAGTGCTCGACTTCGCATGCAGATCGTCGGGCTACCGAAGCGGGTATGCCATCCCATCTGCAGAGAATCAAAATTGTAATGGCATGTCTTCGGATCATCCTCAGGGATGTTTCCCAGACCGTCGCCAATAGCCCATTGCGCAGCTCTAGTGCGACGTAAATGAACTACAACAACAACTCCGTTATTGCAAAAATTTTGTTTTTGGGAAAAAATCTGTTCACAATTTTGTAAACAAATAAAAATAAGGTCCTGTTTTTTGGTGAATAATAACACACGAATACCATCTATTTCAATGAGTTTTAATCTTAAAATTGGGTATTAAAGATGCCACTGACTCCTTTGTTCTTAAAAAAAAAATGTGAAGGATCCGTTTTCCTCAATAAAATATTTTGTGAAGTGACGTTCTAACGATAAAATATTTTGTGAAGGGTCCTTTTTTACCATAATTGTGATGGGTATTTTGTGAAGGGTCCGTTCTAACGATAAAATATTCTGCGAAGGGTCCTTCTTCACTGTAAAATATTTTGTAAAGGGTCAGTTCTAACGATAAAATATTTTGTGAACAGGCCTTTTTTACAATAATTGTGATGGGCATTTTGTGAAGGATCCGTTCTAACAAAATACTTAGTGAAGGGTCCGTTGTAATGATGAAATATTTTGTGACGGTACTGTTCTAATGATAAAATATTGTGTGAAGGGTCCGTTCTAATGATGAAATAGTTTGAGCAGGTACTTTTTTACTGTAAAATATTTCGGGGAGGGTCCGTTCTAACGATAAAATATTTTGTGAAGGGTCCGTTCCAACGAGAAAAATTTATGTCAGGCCTCAGTTTTGGACGTAAATTTCTCCAAAAATGACCCCTGTTAATTTATACCCTTTCGTATCTAGTAACAGTAACTCAATTCGTCTTTAAGCTAGAACCTGTTGTTAAATTAAGCTTTTTTCATTAAAAAAAATTTTACATTAAAAAAAATTCAATTACCTATACAGTCTTCGGGCAATATGCATTTATTGCTAATCGAGCTTTCTTTCACAAAGCCGTCTTCACAAAAACAGGCGTCCACACATTTATTGTGGCATGGCTCAGGATCATCCATATTTTCACAAGTTTTAGGGCAAGCTGGAGCACAACGCCTAAAAGTCATTCCAACTGGACAGCCTGCAAGAATGATCATTAGTTATCCATATTATTCATAAAATATGCATACATTTTATTAATATAATTCAGTAGTTGTAACTCACTCGCTACTTGTAACAAAACAACTTAATTACGTCATTACTTTTTTTTATGTATTGTAATGCGTTTATTTATTTATTTTTTTTTTTAAATTGAGCTAGTAATGCGATACTATAAAACAGTAGTTTATGGCAAGTACTTTTAACGTTAGTTAAATATAAACAAGGTTCAAACTCAACTAGTTTTTTGAATCTGAATGGTGGAACCTTTTCACAAGTCCATTAACAGACGCAATGAGAATATCCACATTGTATTTCATTTAGTTTTTTTTTATTCTGTTAACTGAAGATTAAAACTTGATAAAGTTGGAAATATTTGACAATTTCTTGAAATTAATATTTGTTGTCAAAAAAGGTACAAAAATTTGAAGGTTGAAAAGGAAAAACGTCTCATTTATTAGTCTAAGCCAGTCTTAACGATTTTTTTTTCAATAGTTTACTTGTTTGTTTGTTTTTTTTTAATTTTGATCAGAAGGGCAAATTGAATTCTTCAACAAAATTAATCTCCTACAAGTAGTTAAGTATTGACTACATTTTGAAAAAATACCTAGTTATAGTCCTTTGTAATAAAGTTGTAGTGAAGCAAAAAAAAAAAGATTTAATTTTTCCGACCACTGATCTAGTAACGTAATTTGAACTAAGAAAAATATTTTTGTGTGATTAAATTAATTTCATCAAGTCTTTAAAATAAAAATACTTATCAATCTCTCGATTTTATGTAATATACCCAAAAAGTTACAATAAAAGGGAACTAAAATTATTTGGCTAACAGTTGTAAAATTCGTTCGTTCAATATCATCTGATAGTTCGATGGAAAGAAAAATCTTTTCATAAGCATCTATTGCTGTTTTATTTTTATTAATTTACTTATCGTCAAAAAAGCACCATTTTAATCTATGTAATTTTAAATGTCAAAATGATAAATTTGAGGGAAATCGGTCGAAAATTTCTTGGGAAATGAAAGTTTGAAAAGACGAACTCTTTGAGATGAGAAACGCAAAAAAAGGAATTATTATTGAGTAATTCATACTTTCGTTCGCTGTCCTAACCGAAATATTTTGATTATATTTCCTAGGTTGCGGCTACCCCTTAAAAACATCATAAATAATTTGATTATCTATAATTATATTTAAAAAATAATAATTATGACGATGCAAATCGGATTGATGATAAGGTATTGAAACGTGGTTGAATCTTTAGTTTTTTGGAAAAATAAATTTGAAAATGTACATGTGCTGCATATTAACCTGCATAAAGTCGCTGCACCTGCTTAAAAAAGTCAATCTTTAGAAAATATTTCTTAACATTATTTTATACCTCTACAAACATTCAAGAAAAATAATCAAATGAAAAAATTTTATTTCTTTATGTAATAATTCAATTATTCAAATAATCATCCATTAAATAGCTGAGAGCATGATATGGAAAAAAATCCAGATTTTATGATACTATAAAAATTCTCAGACGATGAAAATGTTACCATTCATAAAAAAATATATTAAGATTTTTTTTTTATATATATAATTAGCAAAGCCTGAAATTAACAATGGTTCACAATTAAGTATAATATGTCACTAAGGTGTATTTGTAAAATAATTATGAATATTACGTACTTTCTATAAATTTTCATCGAACTTTTCAATTTTATTTAAGTTATAAATTTTATAACGTTTGTTTTCACTTTTAATTTAAAATACAATACTTATGATGCAGCATCAAATCCTTTTTTTTTTAAATTTAATGATATAATTTCAAATTATACAGAGGTTTTATTTTATTTTATAGTCGTCGTGGAACAGCCGACCCATCTTTTTGGGTTTGCGACTGCTAATATTTAACTCCGTAACTTTGTAATTTTGAATCCAATCCAGAAGACAAGGGAACTCCTGGATCAAGTATTTTGTCTTCGTGAAGCTTTTTGATGAAACTAACCCGCATTTGCGTTACATGAAGAGGAAAACTTTCCACGGTTAGCCTGACGGCCAGGGCACTCTAACCCATGATCTGTCTACCACTGAGGATATTTCATGTCGGCACAAGCTGTATCGGCCAGCCATTGCTGGGATTCGAACCCGGTTCACCTCATTGGAAGGCGAACGCTCTATCACCTGAGCCATCGTGGCTCAAAGCTTTTATTTGAACATTTTAGCGAATTAAAATAAGTATTGGTTAAATTCATTTTGAGAATTTTTACCCTTATAAATACTTGAATTGCTTACTTTCATGTTTAGTAGAATGTGGCGGCGGAGGTGGTATGTGAGATTGTTGCGTTACATTTACTTGATGATTAACCCAAGGTGTATCATCACCAGGTGGCGAACCACCGTTTACTCGAGATCTAAAGCTAAAGCTTGATTCACTAAAGCTTGATGATACTTTTTCAACACTGGAATCTGCTGCTGTAATATCATTAACAATAACAACTCTAAGTCTCCCTAGACTTGGGACAACAATTCCTAAGGAAGGTTGAGAAATGTCGATAAAGAAAAACTTGTCTTCTTTTTCCTTTAGAATGAAATCAGTGAGAATAACTTGCACTCCGAGTTGTATTTCGTTTTTGAGAAAACTGATATCTCCTTTTGTTGCACGATAATCTATTCCTGCTTTGGCTGTTCCATCTCTGGTTTCGAAGAAAACCGTCAGAGGTATGTTAAAATCGCCAGATCTTCCTATTTCCACTTTAACTTTGCCTTCGCTCCTCTTGACTGTTATTGTTGGGTTGACAAAGAATATCGTGATTTTTTCTGCTATGGTCTCTGGAAATAAGTATAGACTGATTAAGCTTTAGCATTAAAGACACATTAGCAACAACGTAAGTTAATATTGATTTTAAATTATGAAAGCTAATTTCAATTACAAATATTACCATGGGGACATATTTTTATCAATTTATTATAACTCGATAAGTAATTTAACCCCTTATCGATCGGTTAATTTTCAAGAAAACGATCATAAAAGTGCCATTTTTTTATTTGTGCTATTTGATTAGTGCTGACATCTAGTTTAAAATAAATTAACTATCTACAATTACCTTAAAAATATCCTGGTACTGCCATCTGGTGCGTAAAATGAGAAATAAGATATTTTCCGGGCAAAAGAGAATTAGTTTTATTCTTATTAGCACCTTACTACTGAGCACTCCAACCCGAAAATATCACGGGAGCGAGAAGGAAGCGGTTAATTGTGTTCAAGAGCTGACTAACCAGTAAGCATACTAAGCACGTGTGTAGGGCACCAGAAATTAGGAGGGGGCACCACCATAAAATTTTGAGGAAACTGAAAAGAGTCATTTACAAGAAACGTAGCAGCTTGCTAAAATCTGGAGTTGTTTTTCTGCGTGATAATTCTCGCCTTCACATTGTCCGAGAGCAAGATCTCGTACACCAGCTCAAATGGGTTGTGTTTAATCAGATTTGCTCTTTCTGATTGGAGATCGAAATGGACTACAGGTGGCGTAGATCAGAGCTCTCTACCTATGGCAACACTTCGCATGCTTTCACCAATAGCGTGTGGAGAGTCATAGAAGAAGAAAGTACATTAGTTTATTTCTTGATTTTCGAATAGATAAAAATATTTTAAGTTAGGAAACTGTATGGAACTGAAAACTACATTAAACATAGTTCTAAAAGAAAACGTCATGGAAATTTTAAAAACTATTTTTAATAATTTAATACGAAACATATTAAGAAAAGGAAAAATGTAGTAGTACATTCCCATACAACTGAAAAGAGGAGGAGAGGGGAAAGGTCTTTTCCCCACATGGCGTGTTCGAGCGTTGCGATAGCTTATAGGCAAAAAGTGAAATTATTAACACTTTCGCTGCCGATTCCACACCAGCATGTGACGAAGTTCTTGCTAGTAGTTTGTGTCGATAAAACAGATAGAGATATTTATTACCATCCAACTAATATTGCAGAAATTCTGATATTTTCTCTCAACATAACGCATTGCTTATTGAAATAAATTTTTGGTTTTATTTTTATAGGTTACCACTTTTCGATGCTAACCATAATCACCTGTTCTCGACAAGCAGTGAACATGTTTAGGGGACCCAAACTTCCTACCGCTCTGCCGTCTAAACTATCTGGGCCATATTTTCCAGATTCCGACGTCCCACAGTGGACTGATCGTTAAGACACGGTTCCCAGCAGATCACCGAAGTCAAGCATCACTGGCTGCGGTCCGTGTGCGGGTAGGTAGTCTGCGTAGGGACCGAGGGTGTGTGGTATTGTTCCTCGTTAAACTGTTCTACCGTAAAGTGCTTGACTTCGCGTGTAGTTCGTCGGGCTACCGAAGCGGGGGCACCATCCCCTCTGCAGAGGATTAAAATTGTGATGGCATGTCTTCGGATAATCCTCAGGGATGTTTCCCAGACCGTCGCCAATAGCCCATTGTGCAGCTCTAGTGCGACGTAAATTAACTAGAACTACAACTCCAGATTCCGGTCAACCCCCATATTTTGATGGTGAGGAACTTAAATTTGAGGTTAAAAGTATGTTTATTCAGGAAAAATATTTCTTTGTGTCCGAATTAGTAACTTAAAATATCGTCTACTCAAATTAATTTGCAACATTAAACCATCGAACAGTAAGATTGAGTCCTAGTGCGCGAAAAATCATTAAATCATCGTCGGGCGCGGTCAGCACTTGGCAGGGTGACCATTTGCCTTTTTAATTTTCTTCCATTCAATGGTGACTTTTATTTATTATATTCACTTATTTTAAAGTGAATTTCAGAATATTAGAATGAAGTAAATTCACTTATTTTAAAGTCAATTTGAATTAAGTAATTAAAGGAAGTGAAATCCACAACGGCCAGACCAAAGTTAAATTAGATTTTTTTTTCTATATAGGCATTCTTTTTTTACGCTCTGTACAAATGGTGAATGCATTGAAAAGTACTTAAAGTAAAGAGAGCAGCTGTACCTTTTTAGGTGTAAACTCAAAATTTTGCGAATGAATACGGTTTTTTTTTTTTATTTATAACGAAACGAAATTTAGTTTCCGAATAGGCCTTCTATATTGACAAACTGAAACAAATCAAGTATCAAAATTTTAGCACTGTACTTACTTATTTGTTGGCCAATTCCAAAATTAGGAATTTGAGGGAGTTGCTGCGATGTTAGTTGTGTGTTTTTGAACTGGTTGACTGCCGTCAGAGAAGATCCGTCAAAACTTGAAATCTGCCCGTCACCCCCTATAATTGATCCTTCTTCGGGTGAGTTCCTTCCGTTTAATCGAGCAGAAGAATCGTTTTCTATTATTACTGTTGCTGTTTTATTTCGACCTACAATTCCTCTGCTTGGGGCAAACATTTCGTAATAGAATATTTTGTTATCTCCAATTCGTGGTTGGTTATAAGTTCGAACTGTCACAGTAATACTCCTTTCACCTGCGTAAAATTCAACTCTACCTCGCATTTTTCTATAGTCCTCTCCACCTTTGGCTGTGCCGTCATTGGTTGTCAAGTAAACAGAAAGTGGCTCTAAATCACCTGTTCGAAAGATATGCAGTTTAACGAATCGTTGGTTTCTTCTTATTATGTATGTCGTTGGATTAAAATTTACTTCGATCAAATTGTCGGAAACAGCCGTGTAATCTGAAAAAAAAAATTAGAAAGTTTTATTAGAAGAGGTTAGTAGGTTGGTATTTTATTTACGTCGCACAACTGGAGACGGTCTGGGATACATCCCTTAGGATTATCCGAAGACATGCCATCATACTTTTGGTCCTCTACAGAGTGGGTCTCCTTCCTGAGGCCAATTCATCATTTTAGACATAGATCTGAAGTGGAAGGAAGTTTTTACAGATCCCTGTACCCACGATTCAATTCCACAGATTTTACAAGTGTATCGTATGTACTCTGTGGAACTTCGAAAATCGAACCCCAGTCGCTCTGGACCCCGATTTTGAAACCACTGGAGTACCACGGCCTCATTAAGAGAGAACAACACTATGTAAATTGGAAAAAAAACTTTTAGTTTTTACTTCATTAGCTGAATACACATCGTACGGGGGGAAAAACATCCTAAATAATTCGCGAATCTACACGATAAATTCTACGCGATCATGCACAAATCTGAGAAGCATACACCAGAACAATTTAAAAAAAAATAATATATATANAATAAAACAGAAAAGTACTCACTACTTTCTGCCAACATCATAATAAATAAATAAATATTAAAGAACGTGCAATAAATTCCCGATGAAACTCGTTTTGGAGTAAATGGAGCTATAAATTAGCAAGCATAACTGACGCTATCTTTTAAATGATTGAAATGAAAATAAGTCTGCAAATTAACCTGCAATAATGTGCATTACTAATGGTATCATAAAAATTCATTTTCTACATTCTTCCTCTCGACTAAAATTCATGACTAATTTTTGAGCACGCTACAAATTTATAACATTTTGATCTTAGCTCGGATCAAAATGTGATTCACAGATCATAATACTCACCATCGTCGTCTGCTATGGTAACTGTTACTGTGTTAACTGCTCCCAAGACATCTGTATTAGATGGACCGTGCAAAGCAACAATAAATTTCTCATCCTCTTCTCTAGTTTTATCATCTATGATAGCAATCGATACCGATTGTTCCATCTGACCATCAGCAAAAGGGATTAAGCCTTGTGTAGGATTGTAATCGAGTCCACTAGTTGCTGTTATATCTCTAGCAGTCCATCTCAGAGTAATGGAGCCATCCGACCCACCAAATCGTTTCACTATCAGAGTAACTTGAAAAGCACTCTCTTGCACTGTGATACGAGACTGGTGGAATTGAAATTTACCGAGTATTTCTAAAGAAGCAAAAACATCTATCAGTATTGTTTTAAACAATTCAGTGTTTTTTTTTCCATCAAAATATTCAAATGTATTAAATCTGATAAGTATTCGTAAATTTTTTCAAATATATAATTTCAGTATTTTGTTAAAATTACTGAAATTCAAAAACAGTGCGTCGGAAACAGTGCAGTTTCATCGAAAAATAAGAAAGCTGTAATAGTTTTTTGTTTATTTGAAATATAAATGAGAGTGTAAAAATTAATGTCTATAATGGTAATTCAACGTGTTTTTACGATTTATAACAGACATATATTTTTATTCAATTTAGTTATTTTAAGGAAATTGTTTTGTTTTCCATGAATAAACTGCCATATGAAGACAGAAACTTGCATGAAAACTCATCTATATCTTTAAATATGCTCATTACGTTGTACCATTATGCTATTTTGCTTTAATCGTTATGTCTGTTACATTATTATTTCCCCTCCACTCTTCTCTTCTTCATTCTTCTCTTTAAAAAATAAAATCTGAAAGAAATTTTGTTTTTAATGTTAAAATTACTATGTAAGGCCATCAAACCAGTAATTTTTTTAAAACTTTTTCATTATAAAATATAGAGCATTACATACTTACTAAATTTAAATAAAATAAATAAGAAATAAAATAAAAAATCCCTGACATACAGCACTTAAGATAAGCCTAACCATATACCCATTTAACTCCACCTAAGAAAACAATTCTTATATTCTTAAATTTCTATGTAAATCCGTTCTTTATGTGTTCTTCTATTAGTCTGAACTAAAATTAATAGTTTTTGCCAGTTTTTAATGGTATTAGAAGAACGTTCATGAACAGCTTAAACTAACATACTGTATCAGTTGATCATAAACAGATATTTATTAAACATTAAATTTTTTTCATCAGTTTCATTTCATTTTTTCATCAGTTTCATCACTGTATCTTAGTATTAAAAGAGTTGGAAATAATGCAGACATAGCAAAAAGAAATGAAAGAAAAAAACATATTTTACTAAACCAAAATTTATGATATACTTACTATCATCATCAATTATAATAATATTTGTGCTTCTCAAAGCTCCCAAACTACGTGGCTGTACGCCACTGGAGATATCCAGTAATTCCACTGTAAAACTTTCAGCAGATTCCTTCAAGATGTCATTTATGAGGCGAACACTAATGGACTTACGAATTTCCCCATTTCGAAAAGTAATTTCTCCACTAGAAAGAATATAATCGGCTCCACTCAATGCTGTTCCATCTTTGGTTCGATATCTTACAATTAAATTACCTTCAGATCCACCAGTACGAATTACATTGATTTGTACTGTAACAGCATTTTCATTGACCGTAATGTTTTCTTTCTCCATCGAAGCAGATCCCGAATTCCCTAAAAAAAATTAACAGAGAAAGGTATGTTAAAATACAGGTAGAACCCGAATTCCATAAAGAAAATGAACGGAAAAGGGTATAAATATGCAGACAGATCCTGAGTTCCATAAAGAAAATAAAAGAAAAAGGTTATAAACATACAGACAGGTCCTGAGTTCCATAATGCGTTTTAATGTGTGCACTATTAGTTGCTGGCTGGAAGTATTACATCAAACGGCTATGAAAAGAATGCGATTTGAAATTTTTATTTTCAATTTTGACAGCATAAAAGTAGCTAATTTAACTCAAGTAGTTTTTTTCTCATGCTTAATCTTAAGCAGAAATTAAATATTTTATGCATGTAGTCGTAACTGCTTATGAAAGATGTTTTGAATGGAAGCTTGTAGCTGTCTGAAATCTCAATACTAATATATACTTTTAGAGCTATAGACTTTTTAGGACTTCTGACGCTGGATTGCCTTATGCTTTCGAGATTTTAGTTTAAAATTTTTGGTATTTTCCACACTTTATGGTGTTTGCAATGCCATACGATCAGATTTTACATGTTATGAAAGTTAAACAGCTGTAATATAGAAACTTAAACAAAAAGAAGTTCTTGGCATGTCGTGTCAGTGTGGTTTTGCGAGTGTGTACATTATTACACCCTCAAAAATGTTTTTCAACGTTGGCCCGTAATATCAATATTTCGAACTATATTACCATTCAAATTTGCTACAACCGTTGCAACGTTGAACCACCTGTAGTATGGGGTAGTCAAGTTTAAAATGGTTCAATTTACAAGGTCATATGGTTAAACTTTAAAACTTTATTAAGGTTTCAGGGAATTTGGACGATATTTTGATGCAACTCATTGTAAAAAAAGTTTTAACACCACATATAAAAAATAATTATAAAACAAATTCACAAGGCCTGCTACTTTGCCAATAGGAGAAGATAATATCTTTAATTGTTAAAACAATGCACTTTGGAAACAAATATTTTAATTTCTTATTAAAGAATTCGAAATTTATTCGATCGGTTTTAGAGATTCACTATTAGAGAGATTTTGCAAAGTGTTATGCTTCCCCCTAATTCTAACGTTCACGTTATTTAAGTTTCACAGCCCTTGTGCAATTTTTATTTTATTTTTTTTTACAACTCATGGTGTTGCCAAGGGATAGGAAATAATTTTAGCGTTACGGTTCACACAAACTCTCTAATCTCTTTATTTTCTATAATAATAGAGTAATAAAGAGGATGAAGTAATAATAAAGAGAATAAATCTCTTTATTCTCTTCCGATAAATCCCTTACAGATTTTTTTCTCTGAAAATTAAAGCTTTGCTGAAGGAACAAGGAATAACTCGTTGCGAACGTCAGAATTAAAGAACATTTCGTTCGAGGACTTAAAAAGCTGTTTCTAATTTTTTACAACTGAGTACTGAATCGCATTACGGCAAGTTGAGATTAATTCGAAATGTATTAAACAGGTGAGTAAGTAACACAATGTTTTCAAAAATTATTTGATCAGTATCGGAAATTCATATCCACACCTTATAAAATTAAATAATTGTTTGAAACTAAACTAGTTTTAAAAGGATTAAAATAATTTAACTTACGATCGTTATCCATAATAACAATTTGTGTTTCTAGAAGTTTCAAGTTGTAAGATCTTCCACTTACAGGGCCTGCTTCATCTCGGACATCAAACAATAAAACAGAAAAGTACTCACTACTTTCTGCCATTGTGTCATCAACGATTTTAATGGAAATATTTTGTTCGGACTCGCCTTCTTCAAACTCTAATTCACCCATATCGAATACGTAATCAAATGGAGATGTTGCTGTGCCATCTACTGTTCTATATTTTACCCTTAAATGACCATCTGTTCCACCTTTCCTTGAGACAGTTACTCTGACCCTTCTAATATCTTCCCAAACCGTTAGCTTTGTCGCTACCATCTCAACGTAGCCAGGCCTTGCTGAAAAGGTAAAGTATGTATTATAAAGGTTCGTTTATATATATCAATGAAGATATGATCATGATAAATACTCTGTTAAAATCTAAGTTAAAAGCTTAGCTGCTTTTAATAAACAGATATCTATTATAAAATGGAAATATTTATTGTATTTTTAAAGATAAGCTCACCTTGTGAGCGATAGAACAAGACAAAGACTGAACTAAATCAATATTTAACTAAAATTCTATTAAAGATTAAAAATAATGCAAACGATATAAATGCTAAAGTATAATAATAATGCTAAAGTATGCAAACGATAATTTTCTGATTTCTTTAATTACATTTTTTGCTTTCCTGCTAGATTTAGTTGTTTTAATAGACTCAGGAAAGTTTTTCTCAAGTTGTGGCTTATCTTTCATCGATCTCAATTATGAAGTAATAGGTGATGAATAAACGACTGACCTCGAAATCTACAACGGATAAATTCTTTGGACTGGACAAAGCAGTGTATTAGTTGCAGTTTGAATCCTGATTAACTTAGCATGTCACTAGTGCGCTAAGCACAACCTCAGTGTCACATTCAAATAAATTTACCAAAGGTCTTGCATTGATCACAGCTTAACAATCACACAATACTGTTGAAATTTCTTTTTGTGATGAAAGAGGTCGACCTAAAACTCTCCTTAAAACATATTCCATACTTATTTTTAGCAAATGATTATCATTGAAAATATCATGGTATCATTAAAAATATCCTGGGATATTGATATTTTTAGATGAATAGGCATAATCGAATTTCTCAGTTTGAAAAATGTTTGTTGGTAAATATTTTAAAGCATTAGTGCAAAATTTCTTTCCATTTTACCCTAATATCCCGTTGACTGCAGCTAGTCCCTTTTACTCTATACTGTAAAAGGAAGTTTATGTTTGAAGATGAATTTTGGATAATAGGACCCATAGTTTAGAGGAAAATTATTAGTTTAAAATATCAGTTTAATGACGCAGATCATTAATTCTTCATTAGTCAATTTAATCATCCCTCTTATGCCACAACTAGATTAGAAATATGATAGCTGATTATTCTCTAGTTTTAGATTAGTTCTGTCCAAATTGTATAAAAGATTTCGGACAGATAACTTTCTTTTATGTTTAAATATTTAAATAAAAGAAATAAAGTGAGAGTTTGTGCCATTTTTAATTAAATGGAATTAAAATCTTTAATTTAATCAGTAAAAATCTGTTATCTAATATTTTATTTGACAAAAACTTTTTTAACTGCAAAAGGGTGTTTGAGTTGTACTATGAATGTATGTATAATATTGACTTTCTCATAATTTTATGTTAGTACTGTGCCTCAAAAAATATTAATCAACAGTCGTAGTTTGTCTATAAAACGAACTCCCTTTGCCATAAAGCCTAAGGCTGTCTGCTGCCATGTAAACAAAAAATCGTGCATTTCAAAAAAGGCAGCTTCTCTCTCCACTGATTCCTTTTCTCTCGCTGACCAAGCCAAAACCTCTCTTAAATTTTGACTTACTTGAAATAGTTAAACTTCGTAATCGTAGTCACCGCCATTACTCCAGATGAATGGAGAGGGGAGTTCTTCACATAGACAAATATAGAATTTCGAATCCTCACAATTCTAGAGAATAAATTTCTGAAGAAAATTTCCTTCCCCTTCAGATATATTTCTAAATTGAAGAATTCAGCTCTATTTCCCCTTCAAATCTATTTCTAATAAGTGGTGCTGCCATCTATCTGTGGAGTTCTGAGCTAAGATGCACTTATACTTTTGCGGTGCTTTCTTGTTGAACGAAAGGCGCACCCTCCTGACTTAATTCGCAAAAGGCCAATGGCTGGTGAGCTTGGCTTTCCAATCCAAGTATAGAAACAACAACAAATACAGATTTAAGTTATTTACATAACTTTTTTTTTACAAAAATATGTGAAACAAATTTAAAATTAAAATTTCTACTTACTATCGTCATCGAGGATGATTACATCTGTGGTTAAAGTCGATGCACGATTTCGATAATTAAAAACTCGGTAGTTTGATGGGATGGACTGGTCATAAAGCTCAACTCTAAACGTTTCTGTTTGTTCTCTTTCAGCATCATTAACTATTTTGATATGAATTGTCTTCTCAGTTTCAAGTTGTTGAAAGATAAGCTCAACAGGCGGAACAATTTCGTAATCTTTGTTCAAATCTGCACTAACTGATATGATTCGATACTTGACTTTAATTATTCCATCAGTACCGTCACGTCTGATCACGACTAACTTTGCAATTCCGATGTTCTCATTTACAGTAACAGTGTCTGTTTGCATTTCTAAGTAGCCAGGTTTCACTGAAAATAACAGGAAATAATTAGTAAAAAAAGTAATAATTACTCACTAATTTTCAAGCATTTCAATTACTTCCTAACTGCTTTTTCTAAATTTGGATCAGTTCAGCAATATTCAATTAAAATTTCATGTCAATCAAACAAAAACTAGGTAAGTTACAAAATTTAGAAAAAGTACCAATCATTAGTCGAGGCTTTAGTTCCAAAATTTGAAAAAAATTTTAAGGGAGTAAAATTTTTAAAAAAGAAAAATTAATATTAATTATATTTTTCAGAAGTCTTATGTTTATTCTTTAAACTTTTTAAGGAATTCCAAAAGTAAAAGGAATAAATAATAAAAAATCTAACTTATCTGAATTTACTTTCTTTAAACCTTTTTTTATTAATATTTTACTTTTTTTAAAAATATTTCGAAAATAAATGTGACTACTAAAAGACAAGATTTTCTTTTGAAAAAATGTACTATTTTATAAATATTTAGTATCATTTTAAAAAATACGGTACAGCCACATAATGTAAGCATTTAAGTTTTTCTTCCTTCCGAAATCGGCAAAAATAAAAAGAACCAAATTGGTTCAACGCAACAAATAAGTGATTTCGTTGCAGTATACTTATCGCTTTATCAAGCAGCAAATGAAAAATATTCAGGGTGCCTTTAATTCAATTAAATTATATGAATTCATGCGTCAAGGAATAAATTTTATTCTCAGAGTTTTTGATTTTAGCTCAACATTATTTCAATAGATGGCGCTGTGATTCGTTTTTTACAAATATTTTCTCGGCACTAGCGCATTTCGCCCTTTGATTTTACATCAAGTGATTACGACTGACGATGAGCATTTCAAAAATATTATAATCTTATTCACTTATTTTTTCGTAAAGGATGAAATATTTTGCTGCATTTCCAAACAGTTTTCTTTCATTAATAAGTATTTTTGTCTACACCATCTATCGAAAAAAATTTATTTAAAATAAAAACTCTCGAAATAAAAATAAACATACTCTTACATGATTTTCTGCATTAATTGCTTTTCAATCGTAATCGTTTTCCTATCTTTTTTTTAAAAACTGTCAATCTAATTAAGAACACGCTGAACTTGCAACATTTTTAAGCTATTTTAGACACTGAATAAGTTATATTCTTGCAGCATATATTTGCTTGCATCAGGTGCATGCAAATATATGCTGCAAGAATATCACCCATATATGCTGCAAAAAATGAGTGCATTCAAATATATGCTGCAAGAAATGAATGCATGCAAATATATGCTGTAAGAATATCACCCATATATGCTGCAAGAAATGGGTGACATACTTGCAACAAATTTAGGCAATATTAAGGAGCAAATGAATGATATACTTACACTATATTAGGCAGTAAGAAAGTAATACAACTTCAAATTTGGACTATTTTAGGCATAAAATAAGATTATTCTTGCAGTACCGTAAATCAGTATGATCCTAACCATTTTTGAAAATGCATTGAATTCAAAAATTTGAAAATATCACAACGATTTCGTGATTTTATAGTAAAAATTTTCGCAAAATAGCATAGTTATTTAATTCATTTCATCCAATCAAAACAAATCATTACTTACTATCATCATCGTTGATAGTAATCACAGAGGATCGTCTTGAACCAAATCCTCTGAAGTTGACACCTCCATTTCCATCTATCAGATCAAGCAGTTGAATTTCGAAAGTTCGCGATGATTCAAACACTTCATTATCCTTTATTTGAATCTCAATATATTTTGTTGTTTCCTTATCATTAAACACTAGATCACCCTCAATGGGTACAAAATCTCTAGAGGGCACAGCCGTTAATGGTATCGTTTTGTACTTGACATGCACCAAACCATCGGCACCATTAACACGTTCGACTCCAACTTTGATGACTTTATCGTTTTCAAAAACTGAGTAAGATGGTTTTTGAAGCTCGAACTTTCCTGGATTAACTGCAAAACAATAAATAAATAAATATTATGTTGTGTTAGTTTAATGGGAGTATAAAATATTTATAAATACTTTCTAATAGCATGGTGTAAATTGAGTATAGTTTGTCTAAAGTAAGAACTCCCCAGGGCTCGTCTAGACCTGCGGCGGTGACTATGGCAACGAGGTATAACTATTTCAAGTAGGGGTGTGGGTCACTGATTAGAGTAAATTTTGGCTCAGGTCGGCGAGAGAAATGGAGAAAGGGAATCTATATCTTCGGTTTATTGTGTTAGCCCTAGAATGAAACGAAGCAACCCTCCCAGAAATGCGCTGTTCTTGTTTCCATAGCAACAGATGGACACAGGCTTTGCGTCGGGGGGAGTTCTTACCGTAGACAAAATATAACACTGTTTTGCTAATTGCTTTATTGTTATTGTATAGTGTTTCATTACAACGTTGACTCAACCATCTTTAGTGCTATGCTGAAGTGACTACACACCATCAAACCTTGACCAAGCACCTATCCCTGTTTTACAGGGCTCTATCTTTTATCAAGGTAGGTCACATAACAACCGCGTAATTTTAACCCCAGTCAGGCGACATGGACAGCGCTTATTCTGGTACTCCTCTCTTCAAATTATAATTATTAAATTAAAAATACAAAGAAGATAAGAAAAAAATATAGAGAAGAAGAAAAATTATTACTAATTATATTGCTTTTAATAAAAATTAAATCGGAAAACAAAATAAGGAAAAGATATATCTCGTCGTCCTCTCATACCATTATATAAGCTATTAAAAAGTGCGTTTACTATTGTATCAATATAGCCAAAGCAAAATATATCAATACAAAAGTATGGAAAGCACCAAAAAAGTGAAACGAAAATAAAGCATACTAAGCAAAAAATTTGAAATAAAACATGTAAGAAAAGGAAATGAAAATTCAAGGAAAGTACAGAATAAAACGCAAAATTTAACATATAAGGCAAGTAGCGAATTCAAATGTCTTTACACTTACCAGCATCTTACAAAAATGATTAAAGATATTTTAGTAACAAGTTTGCCAGATTACAAAATTTGATAATAAAAGTCTAAATAGAGAATAGTGGGATGTGTTCCATGGCCCGTTTTTAAGGAATATATAGTATATATACGTATATACTAAGTTTGAAATAATAGTTCTTGAAAGAGAAAAACTAAAATTGGAATAAATAATTTGGAATGAGAAAAAATATCTATGTATGTGTGCTTTATTAAATCCATCCATATATCATCATCAACATTTAAAAAATAAAAAAAAAATAAAAAATTAACTTACTGTCATCATCAATTATAGTGACTGTCGTTTTCGCTATAGAACCAAGGATTCGGCCAGTGATGAAGTCGTATTCGGAAGACGGATCATATATCTCAATAAAAAATGCTCTATCGACATCTCGAATCTTATTGTCAATAAAGTGAAGATGCAAATGTTGCAAAGTCTCGTCATCTCTGAATACCAATTCTCCAGTCATTGGGTGGAAGTCTTTTCCTGCTATTGCTGTGCCACTCACCGTCTTGTACTTAACTCTAAGTAATCCGTCTGATCCGCCTTTTCGTTCAACACAAACCATCAGTTTATCGGCATTTTCCTTAAAAGTGTAACTAGGCAAAAGGAATTCCAAGATTCCTGGGTTCACTATAAGAAAAGATGACGTTTACTTTTAGTAAAATAATTTTTTTTTAAATAAATTTTATTTTATGTAATTGAATTGGTATGTAATTGAATGGTTCTGGGGGAGGTTGGCGCATCGCAAGCATGTTCAATAGGATACACTGGTGGACAAAATTAAGAGATGGACGACATTTTCCCAAATATCACAAAAAATACTGAATATAAACAAATAAAATTTGGTATGGATATAGCTTATTCCATGATAATAAAGTATGCAAAACAAAAATGTGCAATTCACTGGCAAGACCTATTGCCAATAAATCCAATGTAGTCTGAACTTAAGGATAAAAGATGACAATAAAAGTGAGGCTTGTACAGTGTGTGTTGCCTCTAGTATGGTGTATGGTCACACCTGACAGACAGCATGCACAATGAGTATGCATGCTGTTAATAAGGGAGTCAAGGATGACTTGTGGAAGACCCTCTCATTCTTCCACCAGAGCAATTTTTAACTCTAGAATGGTTCTGGGGAAGGTTGGCGCATCGCAAGCATGTTCAATAGGATTCAGGTCAAGAGATTTGACTGGCCAAGCCATTCGTTGAATATCCTAGCTTTCCAGAAACTCATCAACCATGAGAGCCCTATGTGGTCGCGCATTGTCGTCCATAAAAATGAACTCAGAGCCAACAGCGCCCCTGAAAAGACGCACATAGGGCTCTAGGACCTCCTGCCTGTACCTCTGGGCATTCACGGAACCATTGTCAAACACATGGAGTGGTGTGCGGGTATCTTGCATGTGCGAATTTATTATGCGAAAATGCTTTCTGTCTCTTAATTTTGTCCACCAGTACATCAATAGAGAAAATCGATCAAGGAAGCATGTTTGAAAAAATAAAGTATTAATCTCTAACACATCGTGTTTCTGTTGACTTCACTGTTCCAGGTATTAGAGAGGAGTAAGGAGTCAAATAACAGATATAATATACGACAGAATAATATATAACAGAATAATATATATATCATATAATACGAAAAGACTTAATGAGAGTGTTTTCTACACTAGGGAACACTGCAGACTCTTTCTCCCATCCCCACCACCGTATTTCCGGATCACTGTGTTGTGGATTTTGAGGCAATTTGGCTCAACGTGTTCACCGTGTTAACAGTGAACACAGTATATGTAGTTAGATAATAATAAACATAAATGGTGAAAAGAGAGTATATATGTGGTTTGAGAGGTAATAAAAACTTCGAATCGATATTGGAATAAAAATCGTAATAAAACACATTACCTTTTCAACAATATGAATGGTTGACTGGATATAAAAAATTACGAACTTCACATGACCGGAAGAAATTTAGAATCCTTCCGGTGTATTCATCCGCTTATGTTGTGCATACGAGGCGATGTGTAAACAGGCTTAGTATTCTAGGAAGTTTTAATTTTGTGATTTGTGTTTAAATTTAAGCTTAATTTTATCATTCATAAGAGCCTTTGTGGAGGACTTTTTGATAGAACTCACCCATATTTGCGTTAGCTAGAGAGGAAAACGACGCAAACCTCCCACGGATAGCCTGACGGTAAGGGATTTCGAACCTATGATCCGTCTACCACTAAGGATATTTTACGTCAAAACTGTGGTCGGTGCGAGCTGGGTGTGGAATTTGTATCGACCAGCAATTGCTAGTATTCGAATCCGGGTTATTTCATTGGGAGGCGAGCACTCTATTCCCTTAACCACCACGGATATATAAGACCAATATTTATGGAGATCAGTGAGACTTGTTTAGAATCATATCCGAGTCCTCCGATTCTTTCTGCTGTGTTACGCTGTTATTTGAGCTGTAGTTATCAAATCTGAGTGCTAAAATATTCTACTAATCTTNTTAACACAACACGCTTGAAAAACGCGCAAAAAACTACGTTGTGAATGCACACTTACTGTTCTGGTACCTACCATAAGTATGTATATTCTATGGCCAAGCTACCAAAGAGTATGTAAAAATAAGGTTGGCAGTACTGGTTCTTTCCCCGATCCGCTAAATACATACGCTGTATTGTGTCATAGACAACATTTTTGAAACATTTTAATGTAATCGTTGAATTTTCACTTCGTGCAATTTGTTTGCGAGTTTTAAGGCTGTGAATGAAAAGAGAGTTTTACAGTTTGTGTTTCAAAAGTAAAATGTAGTAAGCAATGTAGTAAGTAAATGTACCTATGTAGTAAAAAACAGCGTAATTATGAATAAAGTGTTGTGTTAGCGAAAAAATATATTAGAAAGTAAGAAGACGGTAGGAAGGGGGGGGCGAGACGAGCATTGCCTAGGGGCCGCNATCAAATCTGAGTGCTAAAATATTCTACTAATCTTTAAGCACTGTTTTATTTGTCACCAACTCAAAACGAGCCTTTGTACTTGGTACAATAATGTATTACAAAATTTTAGATTTTTCGCGTTTCACATTATCATTATTTTCTATATCAATTCATTATCGGCATTGGCCTATCAATCTTTTTTTTCTCCTTTTTTTCCGATTACCAATTCAAATAGCAAAATCTTCTCAGTATTTTTTTAAAAAAATGTATGAAATATAACAAAGTACTTACTATCATCATCATTAATTGCAACGATGGTGGATATTATTGTTCCCATTTGCCTGAAATTGAGTACACCTTCACCAGGCGTAATATCGAAGAGTTGTACTTGGAATTTTAACTGTGAGTTTTTGACATTGTTATCATGAATTGGAAGATCTATGTATTGTTTTTCTTCACCATCCTTGAATTCAAGTACACCTTCGAGGTTATACTCGCTGAAAAGTTGTGATGACCTCATCAATGTCTTGTAATGCATTTTTAGCAGTCCATCTTTTCCATCCACTCGAACAACTCCTATGCGTAGGGTTCCACTGTTTTCTAAAACTTCGTAAAGTGGTTTCTCGAATTGCAAGAATCCTGGCGTCACTGTAAAGGAAAACATTAAAATTATTTTTGTTTTGGAGACTTAATTGCTGTATAATAATGGTAAACGAGGGTCGCATATGAAAGGTTGAATAACCCATAACATCTCTCTTAGCTATAGCCTATATTTTCAATTCAAATGCACGATGATACGACTTTTGCTTTTTTTTTCCTTCATAAGTCTCAGTATGAGTTTCTAAATAACATATAATTGAATAAAATTAGCATTATTAATGTGAACAGATAAGTTAATTTTTAAAATTTTATGTATTAAACCACTATTTTTTTTCTAAAAAAAGAAAATTCAGGTTAAGAGTCAAATAATCGACGATAGATTTAAGAGGGCACATACTTACATATCGAAAACCGCATAACAAATATTTCAAATTACTAATTATAGTATTTATATTATGGGGATAAAGTAAAAATAATTATAAATATAATTATCTATCTTCAGATTTTATAGGCGTTTTAAAGAATTTCGTTCAAGTCTGGACATGATCAAGAAATCCTAACTTGTTTTCTACGTATTCAACAATAATTAAAATTATTTTCAAATAAACAAATCAAAATAAAAACGCTTTTGTTTTTTCAATAAATTATCTAACATTTGTATTTCTAAAGTTTGAACTACACTAATGCGTAATTACCTTTTGCAAAAGAGTAAGAAACTGAACAGTTGAAAAAAAGTCCTGATTTCTTTATTTCGCTAACGCTTTTGCTCATCCTGTACTTTTAGTGCCGAAAAGATTTCGACCAAGCACGAAATCCTTTTATTTGAACCTATGAACACTTGCTGCAATGTTTTTAAATACTTTTTTTAAAACATTTTATTTATTAATAATTTTTCTTCTCTTTAAAATTACATATTTTTCCATGTTTTCTTCGCATTGTTAACTTATTTTACGGATTCTATGTACTTGCAGCTTATGCGCCATAAATAAAACTTTTTATTATTTTCCTTACTTTTCTTCGTTAAGCTTATCAAATTCGTTCCTTCGTATTTACCATATCAAATTCGTATGTACCGTGGAGCACACTACCGAACTAAATCTGTTTTCTGTTGGGTTTGCCATGTTTGCACATGAAATGTAGAATTTCTCTATTTGTTATTAACGCCATTGCTACAATCCATTTCTACAAATAAGGGAAATCTTCTTCTACAAATAAGGGAAGTCTTATAAACTAGAATTGAAACAATTAACGTTTACTTAAGTTCTATCATTTTAAAATTAGCAATCTGTAAATTAAGATTTTCTTAATCATAACTCACTATCATCATCTCTGATTGTGATTATTGATGTCTTATTTGAGTCTAGAGATCTGAAGTTAATGACGCCCGGACCAGCTGTCGACTCAAAGAGATGAACGCGGAACTCCATTAGGTTATTAGGTTAGGTTATTTCCATTAGGTTATTGTCTTTAGTTCTTATATAGATAGAAATTTCACAGTATTATCTCAATAAATAATTTCGCAACTTAACTATGCATTTAAAATTAGCGATTTGTAAATTAAGATTTTCTTAATTATAACTCACTATCATCATCTTTGATTGTGATTATTGATATCTTATCTGAGTCTAGAGATCTGAAGTTAATGACGCTCGGACCAGCTTTTGACTCAAAGAGATGAACGCGGAACTCTTAGGTTATTTCCTTTAAGTTATTGTCTTTAATTCTAATATAGATAAAAATTTCACAGTATTATCTCAATAAATAATTTCGTAGCCTAACTATGCATTTAAAATTAGCGATTTGTAAATTAAGAGTTTCTTAATCATAACTCACTATCATCATCTTTGATTGTGATTATTGATATCTTATCTGAGTCTAGAGATCTGAAGTTAATGACACCCGGACCAGCTGTAGACTCAAAGAGATGAACGTGGAACTCTTTAGTTTGCTCCCTTGAGCTATCGTCTTTAATAACAACATCGATGAATTTCTCAGTCTCATGTTCTAAAAACGTAAGCTCTCCAAATACAGGGATATAGTCCACATTCTCCAAAGCTGTCTTTTGTACTGTCTTGTACTTAACGTGTATTTCACCATCTGAGCCCCCTGTGCGCAGTACTTTGACTCTGATTTTACCAACATTTTCTAAGACTTCGTAGCTTCTTTCAATTTCGAAAATTCCAGGTCTCACTAAAAAAAAAGTTAAAAATCAATCAATGATAATGCAACATAAATTCTAAGGAATTTGTTCGGATAAATTTGACGAAGATAAGCTTTAAATATTCAATTTCTTTTTTTACTTTATCAATGATAGCAAGTATCAAGTGTTACTGTTTTTAAACTGGTAATTTTTCTTTTCAATTCTAAACTGAAATTCATTTTAATGTTAAGAAAAAAACATAAAGCTTTTTAGTCTATTTATTTCTATTTGGCAAGCATTTGGCTAAGTGCAAAACATGTAAACCAAAATACTGTAATAATATTTAGGAAATCAGTAGCTAATTTGAAAAAATATATTATAGTTTAATTGTAGCAGTTTAGTAAATACACAATTTGTTATTTGGATATTAATAGATAATAGTTACTCCTTTTTTATTTTAATTACTAAAAAGCTGAGTTTCCTGTTCATTTCCCAGCATCAACTCATGATTGATTAACTATAATTATTGTTTTTTGGCATTAAACTGCTTTTTTTTCTATGAAAGTTGAAATGTATTCACTTAAAGTATATGTACTAGAAAATTCTGTTTGCTTACGCCACTTCCCACTTCCAATCATTTTTCGTATGATTCTTTTGAGATCTATTATTAAACATAAATAATTTTGCTTGTTTATTATTTTTTTTAAATAATATTTAAAGTTAAAGGTATATTGTTATTACAAATTTGTTTTAGCGAGCGTTAGTGAGCAAGGGTTGGAATTTTCTAATAGCATATTATTGTAATTAGCACCAAAAAATAATCATTGTGGAACAGTTAATAAATTTAGGCACTAATTTAAATAAGTTTACCTTAAAATTGAGCGCAATAAGTTGATATCATAGAATTACATTATAACACTTTTTTTAGTTTTTAATTCTCAATTTAGAAAACAATTTAAATTAAAAACGCATTAATAGCAAAGTGGAATACGAAAAATAAATATTGCAGTATTTAAATTAGGGACTTAATTGACTTTACTTTTGATCGTGTTTCCTGTTCTCAACGGTAGGGAGCAGTACAAGACTCCGGTACAAGACTTCCGGTGCAAGATTTACTTATACTAATTTCTATTTCTTTTTATATCGTCTTTCGATTTATAATTTAATATATTTATTTGTTTTTGATGACGAAAAATTCGTTTGCAAATGGTGACAGTTGGTTTGCTTTTTAATGCACTATGTGCCGAAGCAATAGTTTGTAATCAGAAATTATGAGGTTCAAATTTCCTCAAGGTAGTTCGATACAGTTAAAATAATTTTGGTGCAGTGAAAGAAAGCGAAATTCGAGATAAATTTTACAAAGTACATTAATGACTCTGATATCTTTCTCTTTCACCACTTCAATCTGGTCAATTTTTGAAGCTCCACAACTATGTTAGATACAGAGACTCCATCTTAAACGAGGAACGATTGTTTTTGATTTAGAAAAAAAAACAGAGAGATATTCTTACTGTCATTATCAACAATGGTCACCACAGATTGCATCACTTTCCCGCTGTTTCTGAAATTTATGACTCCTATTCCTGGAACTGGATCATACAATATGATCTCGAACTTTTTGTCGGGCTCTCTAATGTCATTGTCCACAATAGGAATATCAATATACTTCTTCTCTTCATTTTCTGCAAATATTATTTCTTTATCAAGCGCTATAAAGTTTGTAGTAGCCAGTGCTGATTTGGCTACTGTTTTGACGTGGATTGTTAAGCTTCCATCTGTTCCACCGAGACGAACGATTCCAACTCTCAATGCTCCGCCTTCTGTTACAGTGTATGACTCTTTCTCCAATTCAAAGTATCCAGGTTTCACTGTGGAAAGGAAAATAAATATTTAATGAATGTTATAATTCAAAAAATATTTTTACTGTGCTGATTGAGGAAAAATTTGTAATTAATGATACACATAAATTATGAAAGTTGCGTTTAAAAATTATTAAAGAGATTCTTGCACTTTAACGTAATATCCAGCGTGTTCACGTACGTTTGCTGCAGAACAATCTCGGTTCTTCACCGAGCTATAGCAAAACATACATACGTGAACGTACAGAATGCTACTTTAAAGTGTAAAAAGCTCACAATAGTAGCACTAATATATGATAGTAGCACAAAGGTATGTTTAATTAACACGGAGGGATCGACAAGGTCTCTTTTTCAAGCAGAATCTCAAACATTTTCTGTAAGTAAATTTTTTTTAAAAAAATTGTTCCTAAGTGTCAATTAATCATTTATTTTGTGAAATTTTAGTTTTTGGAAACTATAATTGGTATATTTATCAAGTTATTTATGATATTATACGACAAATAAACAGTTGCAGTTCTTAAAAGAGATGCCTAAGCTGAGTCACTTCACTTACCTGCCCACGGAAAATCCATTAATGATTCAATCAGTTAGATAGGAAGTATTAGGAAAACATTTCTATATTTGTATTGATTAGGAATAATATAGAAATGGTTAAAATAATCAGTTGCCATTCGCAATCCTGAAGTTGCGAGATTGATTGATTTATTCCACACAAGGATGTAATTAAGCCGCTAGCGCAGACATCTTTGCAAAACCTTAGTTTTTCATCTAAGATGTTATTTATGGTCAAGAGTTTCGGCAACAAACTAAAAATTCTATTTTTAGATTTAGATAGCTGGTTCAATTAATCAATAATTTACATACATTTGGTGTAATTTGGCTTCGTATTTGGCAGTGAAAAACGAAGAAAGCCTAGCTTGATAAAGTTAAAATGATTTTGATGCGGAATACTAAGTGTGTAAGAATCTCCGACAAGTGTGGTAACCAATTTGGATATTTTTCTTTTTCGGAAATTTTTGAAGGGGCTGGTCGTAACTTCCTAACTACATTTAATAAAGGGATTCTAATCGTAATAGAAAGCAGGGTAAATACTTACTATCGTCGTCTGTAATCGTAACCAAAATGAATGTTTCCTTAAAATCATTTTTCCGGAAATTAATCACACCAGGTCCTGAAGCAGGATCAAACAGAAGAATCTGGAAATTTTTATTGGGTTCCCTCAGATCATCATCCAAAATCTTAACTTCGATGAAGTTTCTACTTTGTCCTTCAGCAAATTCCAATACTCCCTCAACAGGATTGAAGTCGATGTTCGCTTTTGCAGATTTGACAATCGTCTTGAAGTGCACACTAATTTGTCCGTCAGTACCGCCATTTCTAAGAACTGGTATGCGTACGATTCCAGCGGATTCAGGGAAAACGTAGTTTGTACTTTCCACCTCAAAGTTACCTGGTTTCACTGCAAAGAGAAATTATTCTTTAATTGGTAGGCATTAGGGTTTTAATCAGGAAAAAACACTTAAGAACATTCTCTCTCGGATACAGAGTATTATGTAATCGCCATCTAGGGCAGGGATGGGCAAACTACGGCCCGCCGACCAATTGTGGCCCGCCGGAAAGTTTTATCCAGCCAGCGGATAAAATTTGAACTTGCCAATCCGTGGCGAATATAAGCAAATATACATCCATTTTCTTGTGTACTTTGTACTACTATTTTCGTTCTTTCTTTTTTAGCAAAGTTACTGATGACCTTTTTACTTTCTCTATTTTCGTTCTACAAAGCATAAATTGATGGCTTCAATTTGTAAAATGTTGAAGTTCTTTATAGAATAGTCGTAGATTGGCGCCATTTAAAGTAGTTGTATATAAGTTTACCAAAGTTTGAGTTTTACAAATCATTACCAAAAGCTAGTTTCCCAAATTTAATATTTCATGCCCAGAAAATCAGTGCTATGTATGCTTCATCTTATATCTGTGAACAAGTGTTTGCGATGATGAACCTTAGAAAAAATCATTTCAGTAGTAGACTAATAGACACAGAAGTAGGCTAATAGACAAACATTTATCCTCGTTCCTTAAAATAAGTACATCTCACTTGGAACCTCAATATAAGGAACTTTTAAAAATGAAGTCACAATTTCATTCATTTCATTAAATATGTAAATTAAAACTTGTATATCATTCTTTTTTTCATTTTAGACGTTTTTACCTGGCCCACCAAACTTCTTTTTTTCCCGATTTTTTGCCCTCGGTCAAAAAAGTTTGCACACCCCTGATCTAGGGTGAATCTGAAAAACGTTCACAAACTTGTCGAGGAGGTAAGGGCATATTATCGACACACTATCGAGGAACCCTTCCTTCCCCTGGTCTTTTGCTTTATTTTTTAATAAGCGCCAGAAAAATATTTATTAGAGATAGTGATTACAGAACACCGTGTTTACGAAATTTGAACTAAATAAGTTAACTGTATTAAATGAAACAATTGAATGAAATGTGAAAAAGGAAAGAAAGGAACTTACTGTCATCGTCTGTAATGGTGATGGAGGCGATTTGACTCAAACCAGTTCTTCTGAAATTGACGGTTCCATCTCCAGGAGCTTGATTGAAGAGTTCGACCTCGAAAAACTTCGAATTTTCTTTTATATCATCATTTTTTATATGTATGACAAAACTCTTTCTCGTTTCCCCTTCTTCAAAGATCAACTGTCCAAGTGCCGTCTCAAAATCAATACCACTTAATGCCGTGGCACTTCTCGTTCGATAATGAGCTAGAATCTTGCCATCAGTGCCGTCTTTACGAACCACAAAAATTTCAACCTTGCCTTCACCCTCTACTACAGTATACGAATGATTTTCCAATTCTAAATAACCAGGTTGCACTGAAATAAGTAATTTTTTATCAATTAATACATTATATAAACTTCTTAAGTGTAATATATCACTACAATTTAGGCCAGAATTCACTTTTTAAAAAAATACTTTTAATTGGTACTTTTAGAAAAATTTACGATTTGTTTACAAAATGTTTTGTGAGAAGAACATGAGGATTCTTAACCAGAGTCTGACAAAGGCATGGGCATAAGGGGCAATTGCCCCGGGCCCCACATAAGAGGGGGTCCCAAATCGAATAGAAAGTTTATTTCAGGTTTCCTTTTTCAATGAACTTTTTTTAAACAAAATATCAGTACAATGTAAAATGCGTCTGTTTTATGTTAGCTTCCTCGTTAATCTATCGTATGAGTACAAAAAATCTATTTTTCGTAAATCCATGGCTTTCCAGTGCGGAGTTTAGGTAAATTTCGCAATTACGGTGGACAAATTTGGCCAATCAAAAGACTATTTTTATATATCACAAAATGGGATATGTTTTCCAAAATACAGGCTTCTGATTGACTTAAGTGAGACATCGTAATTTAAAAAATTTAGCTGAATTCCCCCCTAACGTCAGCAAGGATATGAATTTTTTGCAGCTGGATGACAAAGTTAACAATTAGAAAACTGCATTCGGCATGATGGACATAGAATTGTCAGAAAATCAATAAAATGGACGGAACGATATTTCGTCTGACCATTGGAGGGGTAATAATTCTCTTAATAATTCTCTTGCTATAAATGTATCTTGCTATATATGATTTTAATAAATTCTCTTGTTATATATGTATAATGAGGTGAAAATTTAAATACCTCCATATAGTTCGATTCTTCATTACTGAATTAGTGAAGCAGAGAGGAGCCCCCAAAGAAGTTTTTGCCCCGGGCCCAAATTAAGCGAAGTTGGGCCTTGTGCTTAACCCAACCTATATTTTTTATAGTTAAATAGTAGTTTAACTCCTGAGCACACTAGATAGTAGCCTTGTATCAAGGAGAATAACAAGGTTTTTCTATCCATCAACCATATTATCATTTTTATTAACACTTTGACGCAGGTGGGACACTGGTATGTATATTTTTATATAGATTTTTTCATGACTCTCTAATTACAGGTAAAAATATACTTTAATGTTTTTTAATTATAAACAAACAGTCTAATAGTTACTAAAGAAACTGTTATATTATCGAAATTATATTAGTACTAAAATATAAAATCCAAAATAAGCAGTTAGAAAAAAAAAATTTCATTCATATTCAAAAAGTTCTTAATAATAGAGTTTGCAAATTAAGGAAATTTCAATGCTGAATAACTGCTTCTCTTAAATCCAAATAACTTCAAATAAGTGCAAATTTGAAATAATATTGTTTGGAATTGAAGAGTGTTTACCTTTAGTGCAAAAAAGACTACGGTGTTTCAGGCTGTATTTCAATTTTATCAAAACTTATTGAAATGCTAAATATATGTGACTTATTTTGACTTAAATTAATGCAAAATTATGAAAAAGTATAAAAAAAAATATACTTAATAAAAATTCTGCATCAGGAGTAGTTTTCTTTGTGGCAAGTGGCAACTTCTTTTCTCCAGTGCTATAAGTCACTGAACACATGATTAAAAAAGTTACATTCTTTGATTAATTTACTATAAATCAAATTACTGATTTATTTTAACGTTTTTATTTTATTGTATATATTATTTTTGTTTAACAAAATAGCCACTAAGGTAGATTTGAACCATGGCACAAAATCAAGAAGTTTGACAAAAATTTGTGAAAAGGGAAATTGTAAAGCAGGATAACATGAAAAAAGAAATTGATAAACATCTCAAAATGTTGCGATAGAGATGTAGAAATAAACAAAAAGAGTATAACCAAAGATAATTACAGTTCAATTTACTACTAGCGGAACACTGACTCATTTAACAAATTTAGTTCAGAAATATATAAATAGGAAATAACAGTCGACATGTTTTAAGCCCTCAAAAACAGGCTCCCATTTTCAAGACTTACCAGACGAGAATGAGACGAAAGTAAAGTGATTTGAAATAACAAGCGAAAAGTCGTCAACGAGAAATAAAAAAAAATTCTGAGAAATGAAACTAGAAAAACCACAATTGCTTAGAGAAGAAAAAGAAAAAAATTAAAATTAATCATAATTTTTTCATCTTTTTTCTCTCTCGATTACTGTAATTTTTCCAGTTTTCTTTTTTTTTCTTCCAATTTTCGTTGGCAGCTTTTCGTTTTACATTTCAAATCACTTTTGTTTCCTCTCATTCACGTCTGGCAAGTCTTGAAATAAAGGGAGCCTGTTTTTGATCGTTTGAAGTACGTCAACTGATATTTTTTATTTATATATTTTTGAAGCGAATGAAATTTTTTATCAGGTTATATCTTACAGCTACAGTTTGAAAAAGTCAGTCCATATTTGTTATTTTTCATCAGTAAATCTTAATTTTGATTGAGACATTACGATTTATTACAGCATTCAAAATGAACTCGAAGCAATAAATTTTTACTTACTGTCGTCATCTTTAATAGTTAGGAAGGAAAACGCATGATCCAATGCGATTTCTGCCTTTTTACTGGCTTCATACAATTCGAGTCTGAATGAAATATCGTGTCCCCTGATAGTATCGTCCACTAATGGTATTTCAATTATTTTTCTCGTTTCTCCGTCTAGGAATTCAATAATTCCTGTTTTTCCACTGTACTCTGGATAAGATATGCTACCTTCGAAGACTAGGCGCCAATGGACAGTTATTCGGCCATGGGAGCCACTTATTCGATCGACTGCGATTCTGAATACTTTTTCTCCTTCATAGACTTGCTGTTCGTCATTTACAAATCTCAGAACACCTGCACTAGCTATTTGAAAGAAAAAAAATAATAAATTTAATAAACATTTTATAATTGTATACTACAAGATTCAAAAGTGAAACAAAATTACAAAATTTTACAAATTTTTTTACTAAATTTTTAGAATATTATTGCTGAACATTATTGGATTCACAGTCATGCAATAGTTTAGATGATAATGTAAAAATTGGAACTTAATAGTAAAAATCTTGAAATCTTTCGCATAAATATTTAAATTTAAACCGGTAAAAGAAAAAAACAAGTTTTTTTTTTAACAAATCAAGAATAATTTTAATAAGAACAAAAAAATAATACAGGGTTATTCATAATTCCCTCTGTTTACTACAACCTTATGTTTACTACAACTGGTTTCAGTGGTACATGTTACTGCCATCTACCGGTAACTGCTTAAATTAAAACTTGAATATTTTTGAAATAATTTCATATGTTCTTTTTTGCCATATTCGTCTTTGTTTTTTACTATAACGCTTCGAAACCCCGGAGGGAATTATGAATGACCCTGTATATTTCCTACAAAATGTTTAAAAATTCTCAAAATTAACTTTTCGAAACATTTTTTCTTTTTTTGGAAAAATTAATATTTTTAAATTTTAAAAAATCGTTAAAACCATGTTTTGTTTTTTTTTGTTTTTTTTTAATTTCGTAAACTATAAGTTTCCGAAAAAATAACATAGTTCCATACAAATATGCGAATTTAAGCCTTTAAAATTTAAACAAATGTGAATGATTACTCCGTCTGACGAGTTTTGAGCATGGAAGTTTATTTTTAGCGCTTGAAAAATTTAGCATCACCTTTGGCGAGTTTTCAGAATGGGCGCTCTTTGAGCCCTCGAAACTTGGCAACTTTTTCGCCTTTACTTTTTACAAAGAAGATGAGGTTTTAATTCAATGTAAAACAAGTGCATTTTTAATATTTCGATCTGATGTGTATTTCTTTTGGTATTTGACGGTTTCTAACCGTTTTGTCACCTTGTACACATTTTCATCTTCAAACAGAGTAGTGCAAAATAAATTAACAATGATGGTATTTACTTACGGCACGATTGTAAGGGTACACATTCTCCATTTTCAGTAAATCTCATGTACCCATCTTTGCAAAAGCAGCCAGCTACACAAACAACTTCACAACATATTTCATCTTTCAGAATTTCACAATTTGGAGGACATTTTGGACCGCAAACTCTATATTCTTCATTTGGTGGGCAAACTAGAATAATTGAATGGTAAAGATAATTATTAAACACAATAATGTAAACAATTATATCTAATTCTTTTATTGCATGAAGAATTAACTAACAATATAGATAGTGCATGCACTTGCTCAATCATGTTCTCCTCTACGCTAGTGGTCATTGGTCAACACTTTTTTTCCCTGTTGTAACTTCTTTGTTATTTTTTTCTGTATCTCTGTGTTTTCCGTTTTTATTCTGAGTTTCCACGTTGAAGACGCTTCTTCATTAAAGTACCGAAAAGTAGTATGTCTGTTTATGTGGCATTATTTTTGCTCTTTTAACTTTGCTGTTGCTTTATTCCTGTCTAATGTTTATTTTGTTGTTATAATATTGAAGCAAGAAGTTAATGGATGAGATCGGTGATACGGAGCTATAGAAGCTTGCTTGAACTCGTTAAAGCGCCTACCACAGTTGCCATTTTTAAAGAGTTCAATCAGTTTTATTCCTAGAGAAAAGAGGGGAAATATTCCGTCTTTCTCTCTCTTTTTTTTAAACAAACAATTTCGTGTTAAATAAAATATTTAAATAACGAAATTTTATTTCAATGCAATATATCTACTAACGCTTTGCCGATAGTATTCTTAGCATGTATCTATCATGATAACATCTTTTTCATTAAGCGGAAATTCACTTTAAAGTTTCATAGAGTAATTAAGAATCTGATCAGTGAAACTTAGGCAAAAGGTCGAAACAGATCAAGTGAGAATGTTACCTAAGTTTCAAGAAATCATGAATGGAATATTATTATTCTTTAAGGTTTCAACTTTTCTGTAATAGTTTGTTTTTCGGCGGAATTACTGAAAATATCAGTAAAAGAATGGTTATTAAATAAATAATAATAACATCATGTGAAAACTTGGAACAAGATTGTTACGTTTTAAGGACTGGGCGAAATTGAAAGCTAGCTCCTCAGTCTCCGTACAGAGAAACTCATGGAATATTTTCTATTGTGGCACCACTGATGATGCATTTAATATTTAAAATTTATGCTTCCTAATTTTTATTGGTATTTCAGATTCAATGAGCAAGCGATTGATTTTGCCACGAAATCCAGCAATCCGAAGTATTTATTATATTTATTACTCTTTTCCGCGTATTCTAATTATTAATTTCATAGGGGAGCAAATATTTTGATGCATTTATACAAATACTTGATCACGCCCGCCTAATTCAGGTGTGGTGATTTCAAGTCTGAAATTAGTTTTACTCGAAAAGCTAAAATTTTATTTTTGAAATGGCATTTTTAATCCATTTTTTGTGGAAATAACTATTTGCAACTCTAAAGCAATATCTATTAAAAATTTACTTTTTGCACTATTTCTTAAGGCGAGAGCCGCTGTGAATCAGGGGGTAGTGCATTCGCCTTAAAATGAGGTGCCCAAGGCTCAAATCCCAACGGTGCCTGGTTGATGCGAATTCTGCTCCAGACTCGCACCGACCACAGTGCTGACGTAAAATGTCCTCAGTAGTAGAAGGATCATGGGTTAGAAGCTCTTGTCGTCGGGTTAACCGTGGCATGTTTTCGTGATTTTCCTCTCCATGTAACGCAAATATGGGTTAGATACATCAAATATTCCTTCTGGAAGGCTAAGTTTTAGGACTTCTCTTGTCTTCTGGGTTGGGTTTAAAATTACAAAGCTGCGGAGTTGAACATCGACAGTCATGAACTCAGAATTGGATTGGCTGTTCGAAGCCAGTTATTAAAATAAATAAAAGCTTATTTGCCAAAAATATTCACAAAAAAATTTATTATAACCAAAAATTTTGAAAAAAATTAAAAACAAGTTTGTGTTTGATGTTACAATAGTAACTGAGAAAAATTATTAGGTTCTAATTTTATTCCAAGTAAAAAAGAAAAAAGTCTGCTTTAGAGCAATAAAAAAATTTAGTGTTATTTTAATATCGCTGTATTGCTAGAAAAGTATAGGGCAGGGGTGGCGAACCTTTATACACCAACGTGCCAATTTTTCTAAAAAATTGTTTAATGAGGTCATAGACGTGCCGTCAAATAATTCTGACTTCGTGATTATTGAGAAAATAATAATACCAAATACTCTTTATTTACATTGAAAAAAAATATATTTTGCAATATCTTAAAATAACTTAAAGTAACATCAGTGTGACTTCTGTTGTTGCAGATTAGATGACAAATAACTTATATTAGGTTGTAAGATGTTAGTTCAAGCAGGACTGTTGTTTTTTATGCTAGTTATTTATTGTTATCTTGTTTTTTATGGTTATTAACTATTTTTTTAGCATTAATTGTTTATTTTTTTATTAATAATTGATTATTTTGTTTGTTTTTGTGAATTTTAATTTAATTGTTACATATGCTTCATAGTGTAATAATATTTGTGTAATAACAATTGTGATTGGTGGCGTGCCCAAAATATTGTATCTCGTGTCATAAATGGCACGCGTGCCATTGGTTCGCCATCCCTGGTATAGGGAAATGTAAAAAGTTATTGTTGAAATCTCTTATTATTAAACCATATGAGGTTAAAAATTATGCATTCAAAAGTTGATGCATTTGACATTTCAAAGCGCAATTTATGTGCTTTCAAAAAAGAGCATATATCAGGATTATTATTTATTTAAGACAAAAAATATTTAATATCACGTACCAGTTAAAAGACCCTCAGTGAAAGACGAAACTGTTAACATCTGCAATATCACCGTCAAGCATGTTCGAATCAAAATTTTCATAATGAGTTTTCATCTGAAATCAATAATATTTCTATCAAATAGTGACATACAAAACTAACTTATAGTTTATTACTAATTTCTCAATGAACTGAATGAATTATCATGAAATCAACATTATTAAATTTCGAAGGTATTCATTGAAGAATTTAAAATATAAGGACTAAGTTGAAATAAGCTATAATATAAACTTATAGAAATGTCTAAGCTGATGTCACTTCGCTTATCTGTTCCTTGGCAATCCATCAATGATCAATGAGTTACAGATAGCAATCAATAGGAAGTGGTTTCCATTGAGAAGTGAATAGGAATTGTCTAATAGGAATGGTGCAAACGTCAATTAATTGATTTATTCCACTCAAAGCTACAGTACAGCTTCTGGCTTGGGTATCTCTATTGCATATTGCAATAGAGTAATTTGGTACACATTGGCTCATAATTTGTGTAAAAATATTGAAAATTAAAAAATGAATCTAAAAAATTGCCATTTAAACAACTTACGATCATTTTCTAGAAAACTGCGCCCTTTTTCTCTCTTTAGAGTATTTTTAAACAAAATTAGACAAATATAAATAACTTTTACGAAAAGTATAAGAACTGCGTTAAACTAAGTCATCATATTTTACACATCTTATACCATCATGCAATATAATACGTTGGTACACATATGTCCTTATGTTTAACAATATTAAAACTTGAAAACGAATTTGAAGAGTTTCCATCTCAACAACGTAAAATCCTTTTCTAAAATCATATTTACTTTTTCTCACTTTAAAGTAATATTATTAGGTAAATAATTATTAAGTAAATAATTATTAAATAATAACAAACTAAAACAATCTTAGATAAAGTATGAGAATTTTGTTAAGTTAAGCTATCATATTTTTCAAATCCTAAAATCTGTTGCAATAGAATAAATTTGTTACGCGTTTATTATTGTTGAAGAAAATAAAAAGCAAAGTTTATTCCAAATCATTGAACTGCTTTCGAATTCCAGCGATGACTAGTTGATGCAAAGTTCGCACCCAACTCGCACCAACTACAGTGCTAACGTAAAATTTCGCCAGTGGTAGACGGACCATGTGTGCCGTCAGGCTAACTGTGGAGATTTTCGTGGTTTTCCTCTCCTGTAACAGAAATACTGACAAGTTCTATCAGAAAGTCCACCTCGAAGGCAAATTTTTCCCAATATTTGATCCAGGAGTTCCTTTGTCTTCTGATTTAGTTTCAAAATTACAAGGCTACGGAGTTGAATCGGGTCAGCTATTCAACGACGGTTATAAATTTACTGATTTTTAATAACTTAGACTTCAAAACACTCATATATTATTTGTGTATTAATTTTAATTGATTAGATTTCACTTAATTTGTAACTGAATTTGATTAAATTAATCACAAGTTTAAAATACAAGTTTAATAAATTTTTTTGGATTTTAGTACCTCAGACAGCAAAAGCGAGACTGTATTAAAAAATTATTTGTAGATTAGACTTCATCTAGTTTGTAATAAATAAATAATAAAGTATTAAATATAGTTAATGATACATTTTGAAATTAAACAAAATGTAAGAAATGCCATGTACTATGTACGGGAAGCTTACCTGTTAACGTTATGCTTACTTCCTCCGAAGCTTCAACCGTTCTCTGCATCCTGTGAACTAGGCTCTTTTATTAAAGCAATCAATATTGGCGATATGAAAACTAAAAAGAACGAAGGAATCTCTTTTTTCATAATCATTACATGCTTACAAATAACGCAACCTCACCGCGAACTGGATCGAAATTAAAAGGAACTGTCATATGGCCAAACGATTACATCGGTTTTTCGCCCTAAGCCCTCATTTCAAACGATTTGTTACAACGAGTAATTCGATATTAGTTGCAAATTTTTCTTTCCAAAATAGTTCAGTGTATCTTTTTTGTTCAGTGAAATAAATCTTTTGTTTCCAATACAAGTTATAATTGTGAAATTAAAACTTGTATATAATGATCGTTTTATACATTTCTTTATTTTTTTTTAAAATTCTGCAGAAATAATTTTGTTCAAATTCCAGGATACTTTTTTTTTCTTTCTCATTTTATTTGAAATACGATTAAATGTTTTAATTATTAAAATATTAATGAATTTTGAAAATATATTCTTTCAATCTTTTTGTCGTATCGATGAATAACCCTAAAGATATCGTCTGGAAATAGCATCGTTTTTTTTTTCACAAATGTGAAATAAAAACTTGTATTCAGTGATCGTTTTACGAATTTCCTTTTTTTTTTAATTCTACGGAAATAATTTTGTTTAAATTCTAGGATAATTTTTGTTTTCATTTATTTCTGATTTTATTAAAAATACAACTAAATGCTTTAATTATTTCTATCATAAATAATTTTGAATAATATATTCTTCTAATCTTGTTGTAATATCGATGAATAACCATAAAAATATATCGTCAAGAAATAGCATAATTTTTTTCTCAAACTTTCAAGGAACAATTAAAAATATCAAATTATGCAATTTTGGCAGCAATTAACAGGAATTTTGTATGTAATAAAGTTAAATCTATAAAATAAGTTATTATATTCCTGTTATCGAGTACAGAAGCTACTCTAGCTGTTTACGAATTACAGACGCTATTACGACTACTAATGTTCAATTCCGTAGCCTTGTATTTTTTAACCCATCCAGAAGACAAGAAAACTCCTGGATCAGTACTCCAGAGGTACTGACTTTTTATGGGAACTTGGAGGACTTTGCGACTCCACAGATTTAATGTGCATCAGTCACTATTTATCATAGACTTCGGCCGGCCTGGAATCGAATATATATTGACTTTGTCAGCATTATTTGAACCTGTAAAATTATTTTATCAATTCTTATTTGTATTGACTTAGCCGAGATATATTTTTCTGCAGGCACAAAAAATCTTTACCCTTATAACTTTATTGACTTTGTTAGAGTTAATCTTAACAAATTTTAGACTGCAAAATTATCTTAACAATTATCGCTGAACCACAAAAGTTTTTTTATTCTAAAAGAATGTGCCAATTTGATAATTTTTCTTCAGGCATTTTGTTGTTGGATCATAAACCATATTTTTATTTTACATATATTAGGTGTCTTAAAAAGATAGACGATTAGCAAAATCAATTCAAACAAAAACGAAGGAAATAGAATTATATGATTTGTTTCGTTTAGTGTAAGGAACCGAAAAATTTATTTCCAGCAAATTTCAAAGTTAATGCCAAAATTTATCAACAGATTTCATTATAACTGAGCAAACCTCTTAAACAATGATTTTAAAATAACCATCATTTTTAACAACGGGGTGGTGTGGACAACAGAATATTTATTCAGTCTAATATGCAGCAGTAAACGCAATATCTTACCGAGAAGGATTGAGTACACTTTGTGCTATGTTGACTAATTCAGTCACAGTTTCATAATTTCCTTTCAATCAGCAGCGTCATCTGTTACTAATTTTAAAATTTGGTGGGAATAAATATTTGGTTTCCTAAGAAGAACGCAGAAAACCGTACACTCTTATCTCCTTTTGCTTAAGTTATTTTTCAAATCACCGGTCATTTTTGAGGCAGCCGGTATCATTGCTTGATGAAGCATGAGAAAAATTATTCTGTTGACAGTTTCGCTGTACTGCAATTTGTGTAGCATTTTACAGTTTTTCCATTTTTCTCTGATTTGTGAAACAGTTTAACCTTGAAACTTTTGTAAACATTTCCCTCAAACACAAATGTTCGCTTTAAAGTCAATTCGCGTAGTTCTGTGACATAGCCATTTTGTGTACAGAACGTTGTAAATTTTTATACATTATATCATCAGTTCTTTCGAACTATTCAATGACTGCAGGAGAATATGTTAACAAGTAGTTATTGGTTAATCTTTGTTACTAATAATATTCTTTAATCGATAAATAGTAATATGAATGAATTACTTTACAAATCCAAAAACTTCATATCGATTAAAAATCGATTAATCGAATCTCAAAATAGAAATCGTTTGATCGATTAATCTAGTCCCAAAATAGATTTCATTTTCAAAATATCGTAGAATTAATTACATGTAATTATATTTTAATCAACAAGAAAGTTTTTGACTGAGCCTGTGACAAGAAGTAGTTTAAAATTGATATTTAATTAAATACAAAAAAAAAGATTATTAAAATTATTTTAGTTTATAACCATCGTTGGACAACCGACCCAATTTTCGGGTTTACGACTACTAATGTTCAACTCCGTAGGCTTGTAATTTTGAAACCAATCCAGAAGACAAGGGAACGCCTGGATCAAGTATTGAGAGAAATTCGCCTTCCTGGGGGACTTTTTGATGGAACTAACCCTCATTTGTGTGACATAGAAAGGAAAACCACAAAACCTCCCATGGTTAGCCTGACGCAAAGGGGATTCAAACTCGTGATCCGTGTATCAATAAATATATTTTACGTCAACGCTGTGGTTGGTGCGAGCTGGGTGCAAAATTCGATCGGCCATCCCTAGCTGGAATTCGAACCCAGTTCACCTCATTGGGAATATATATTTTTAATCACGCCTACCTCAGTATGCTATTCTAAATATTCGGTAAGTTTTTGGGATTCTGAAAGACCGTGAAGATTGAATGTAATAGTATATAGTAGCCACTCAGTATACTGTAAAAATTGTGGTGTAATATCCTCCAAACATGATGTTGAACAACCTACAAGAACATGAAAAAAAACACTTAACTTCAATTTACCAACAAATCGAGAGGTCATATATAATTTAAAGGATGTAGTTAAATCTAAACACCTCTAATGAAAATAGTTTACAACAAACTCTCGCTCATTCATACCAACTGTAATTTATTTTCGCTTCCGAAAACACCACTATTGTCGCGCTTTGTGTATCGTTTGTAGATTGTTTACAATTAAGAATGAGTTTGATGCTGCATTCTGCGCTGCTATACATCTACTAAAACAAAAGTTCGCCCTTATAAAATGTACGTATATTTTTAGTTGTGCAGTA